TAGTTTGAGTTGTGGGGAAGGACATAGGATTTTTACCACGATAACTGACATAAATGCGAGCGGAGCTGCGGGGCAAAGCTATACATACACTCGTATACCATCAACCTATGATTCATTGGCAAAATTTAGATATTCAATAAACAAAACGGAAACCATAGTCTTTTTAGGCACAATCGGTATTGACACCTTAGTTATGTTATCTATACTAATATTATAAAGCTGAAGAGTTTGTTTGTTTGTTTGTTTGTTTGTTTGTTTGAACGCTAATTCTCAGGAACTACTTGTCCGATTTGAAAAAATCTTTCAGTGTTAGATAGCCCATTTATCGAGGAAGGCTATAGGCCATATATCATCACGCTAAAACCAATAGGAGCGGAGCACCAATGCAGAATGTTTTAAAAACGGAGAAAATTTATTACTATTGAGAGACGCAGACGAAGTTGCGCGGGTCAGCTAGTGATTTATATACTACTAGATTTCAGAGGCGGTTTCACTCGCGTTCAGTTAATTTTTCTATCCCTCGGGAACGGTCAGCTATTCTGCCAACCATCTGTTCTGGATGACATGCGTTATGTGACATGATCTGTTTAGCATTTTAGTCATCATCATCAACAGCCTTTACTAGTCCACTGGTGGACATAGGCCTCTCCTTAAAAAGGAGGTTTTATCCTACTAGACTACGCTTTCCAGACAGCTTGGTACAGGGTTTGATTCATGTTTTCCTTCTCTTTGCAATGCTGTTGTCCTGCGTAGTTTGCTCCCTTAGTCGGCTCTTACGACACCCATGGGATGAATAGGGGTAGTGACACTCTGTATTCTTAATCCGTCGCCACACAGATAATTTTAAAGCATTTTAGTCGTGAATGTGTAATAAACGAATAAACTCATGTACTTATCTTATATATAAAATTCTCGTGTCACAATGTTCGTTCCCGTACTCCTCCGAAACGGCTTGACCGATTCTCATGAAATTTTGTGTGCACATCGGGTAGGTCTGAGAATCGGCCAACATCTATTTTTCATACCCCTAAATGTTACCATTTAGGGGTATGAAAACCCCGTGACCCATCCCTAAATTTTTTTTTTAGGCAAAGCAACGTTTGCCGGGTCAGCTAGTTGGACTATAAAATTGAATTATAAAAGTATGTTTATCATCAGTCTGGTTACCATAGGACTGACTCTGCCTAGTTTGGGATCAGACTGCCGTGTGTGAGGTGTGCCTAGTTATTTATTATGAACTAGATTTTGCCCGCCCCTGTGCCCGCGTAATTATCGGTTATCGCGGTATAAAAAGTCACCGGTTATTGATTCGCCATTCAAACTTTCACGGTTTCACCCCTCTTTTCACTCCCTTAAAGAATATTTTCCGGGATAAAACCTACCCTATGTCCTTTCCCGGGACTCGGACAATCTCTGTACCAAATTTTATCTAAACCGATTCAATGCCTTTTGATTTTTGACTGCACGGATGGCGTAGTGGTTTAAGCGGTCGCCACGCCGCTTCCTACTACGCCGAGTGTTGTGGGTTCAAACCCCACATGGGACGACACTTTGTGTGATCCACAAATTGTTGTTCTGAGTCTGGGTGTTCTTTGTGTCCGTTTCATGTATGTTTGTAAAGTCCCACGCGACACAGGATTTATTCCTAATGCGGGCGTTGTATTTCGACACACTTTCGCATTTATAATACTAGTATGGATTAGTCTATCAATTGGTGAACAACGTGTGAAAATCTGTTCGGTATTTTTGAAGCTCAGCGTTCAGATACAGACAAAAGGAAAAACAAAATCGAGGATTTTAAATTATTATATTATGTACCTACTGACAGAACCTTGAATAAGTCTCTCAGTATTCATCTGTTTGATGTACCAGAGACTATTCGTAGGCGTACACATTATACAAATAAAATGAGTCAATACGGACAATGGTGGTATACAATTCATTCAATTTCCTATACCAATCTAGCGCATTACTGAATATATATTGGACCATTACATGTCTGTCTTCGAATAGTTTATTGTGACTGTTATTGTGCCTAATAACTTTAGTGGTCTGTTTGGTACAGTACGGTTTGAGATAGGATTCGTAAACTTCACATCATCATCACATCAACAACCTTTAATAGTCCACTGCTGGACATAGGCCTTTCCTTAGAAAGAAGGTTTTGGCCTACTATACCACGCTGGCCAGACGGGTTGGTATAGGGTTTGTGTCAAGTTTTCCGTCTTTGCAGTGCTAGTGTCCTGCGTTGTTTTGCGCCCTAGTCGGTTCTTACGACACCCACGGGATGAATTGGGGTAGTGACATTCCGTATTCTTAATCCGTCACTACACGGACAGATCGTAAACTTCAAACGGTTTTAATCCAATGAAATAGGTTCAAAAAAGACGCTTACAGGGCTTTGGATATTACGGGCAGCTCTTCAAATAACACGCAAATTTCTGAACAACAGTTTGTGAATAACACGACGTGTTGTCCCATATGAGGATCGAACCTACAACACTCAGCGTAGTAGTGAGCGGCGACGTGGCCGTCAAACCACCAACGCCATACGTGCAGTCCAGTCCATGTCTCTACTGTTTTATAAACAATTAAACCAAATTAACTCCAATTAAATCTTAGCTAGAATAATAATATTAACCATAGACCCTCGCACATCACCGTCTGATTCTAAAGTAGACAGCCACCAGAGGCAACCAGCCTTTTTTTTATGGTATAAAGGGGCAAACGAGCAGACGCGTCACCTGATGGTAAGCAACTACCGCTGCCCATGGACACCTGCAACTCAAAAGTCACAAGTGCGTTGCTGCCCTTGGAGTACCTCCCACTCGAGTCAGCGGGAGAGGGGGTTTGGGCTCCGGTAACCTCACTCACTCAGTGAAAGGCAACCAAAGAATTGCTTAACACCGGTTTTCTGTGAGGCCGTGGTATCACTCCGGTCGAGCCGGCCCATTTGTGCCGAAGCATGGCTCTCAGCCTGCTGATAAACGCTTATATATTACTGAAATGTAACATATATCATAGATAAATTACATCAGGAGATGGCGTAGTAGTTTAAGCGGTCACCTCGCCGCTTCCTACCGCGCTGAGTGTTGTGGGTTTCATCCCCACATGGGACAACACTTTGTGTGATCCACAAAATGTTGTTCTGAGTATGGGCGTTTCATGTATGTTTATAAAGTCCCCGGTGATTAATTCTTAGTGCGGGAATTTCTTTCTTAAAAGAAAACAGAACAAATGTATGTCTTCCGATACACTATTATTGAAAATAATAAAATGGCGAATCAGCGAGGTCAGTGTAGAAATGATTGTGTTGTCATCAATTGTTGGTACGTGAACATAATTGAAAGAGTCGACCGCTGGTAGTGGGTGAGTAATGAATTTAAACATTCAATGGGGACGAGCAGGACGCGTTTATAAAGGTGTGTTAGTATAGTACCGTTCAGTTTTTAACCGACTTCAAAAAAGGAGGAGGTTCTCAATTCGACTGTATTTTTTTTTACCCTGAAATCACATAGTCTGGTTTTTAGTGGACACACCGCATACTCCCGGCTCCTGTATGGGAGCGATGGCGCGGTAGTGGAATACATAAAGGGAATTTGCACCCCGTCACTCAATAAATAGACTACTTAAAGTATTACTTACGAAGACCGTACTTAATGATACTACGAGTATATCTGATTGCTCCTCTGTTTAACAGGCAGGTCGTCAAAGTTAAGTTTCGTCAAGTTTTAACTCAGACTTTAGTATTGATCTACACATAAAACTAATGATTCTAAAACGATACAATCGTTTAGTGTGGCGCTTGACCCTGTTGTAACTGATAATTCCGCCATTACTACTAATGGTTAGTAAATTTAAAAACACAATTGCGCTGTTCGATGGCAACTGTCAACTGATCGCATTTGTTTACACAGCCAACTGACGTCATGACCACAGAGCAATATGGCGTCCACTGCAATCAATGTTTGCGTCAAATTACACACGAAATTTGAATATGTAAAATTAAATAATGCCTTTTTATGGCACTGATAGATTAATTAAAAATATTGTGTTTTTTTTTCATTTGTTTATTAGCACTAGAATCTAATTTAAACACTTGTAATACTCTATTATGAAGCAGTTATTTATAGACTTGCAACGAATAGTATATTCGGCAGTATACCGAATACCGAATATTCGGCGAGGCCCCTGACCGAATAGCCGAATATTAGGCAAAAGTATTCGGCTGGATTTTAGCGCCAAAAACTTTTACAGACGTGAATTAAATTATATACCTGTTTTATGTACCAATGACTACTTATACCAAATAAATGATTATAAAAGAAATGAGAACCTTACCCTTCTAAATTTTGATTACCACAATAATTCAAATACATAGAATCCTCCATTTTTTCAATTCAGAAGATGATTATGTACCTGTGTTATGCACCAATGACTACTTAAATGATTATAACAGAAATGAAAATATGAATATATACGTAATCAATCGATTTTAATTTTTTATTTTACCAATTATTTCTCAATGACAAAATATATTATTTAAGTATTCGGTATTCGGCCGAATAATGTGTAGATATTCGGTATTCGGCCGAATATAATAAAAGCAGCCGAATAGGCCGAATACCGAATAGTAACCGAATATTCGTTGCAAGTCTAGTTATTTACTATCTGAAGGTCAGAATTCAGTTCCGATGAACTCTGGATCTCACAACTGTCATAAAAGCTTTTTTCGTAGTAAAATAGTAAAGTATTACTTAGACCAGCAGATTACCGATTCAATGTTCGGTCATAATACGTTATAATCACATTATAGTCAACGTTCGATGTTCAATACTTTACTACGAAAATACCTTTTGAAATCGAGAGTTAGTCGGAAGTAAATTAAGACTGAACTTTTATTATGAGAATTTGTCTTCTGGTTGCCAAACTACATTTACCATAAGCATTAACGTTTTGTTTATTCCTTGTTTCCAGAATAAGCAACCCTGCCGCCCATAATGGCCGAGACCGATACGGAGACGTTGCCGAACGGCACCGGAGCGATCTCCAACGAGGAGGAGGAAGAAAGGCTGAGGCAGCGGCCGGCCGATATTGACGCTGTGAGTATTTATTGACGTTAGAACACAGGACACACACACAGAACACAGTTAGAACAAGGATACCTTGGGTTTTACGTGCCTCCTGTACTGTATGTGAAAAAATCAAGGCATGAACTAGAGACTAGCAAATGGATACCCTGGGGCGAGTAACTCAAGAAAACTCCTTATGCAGTTGCCTCGCAGTCCCAGTAGGAATGTAAAATTAAGATTATGTCTCTGATAACAAATATATATTGACACATGGACCGAGGGTCTTGGCTCCTCCCGAACAGCAAAGACTAAACATCTCTAAGTTATTCTCTAATTTATCATAGTCATAGTCATTTATTCACCAACAAATTACATTGTATTTGAAATTAAAATAATTAATAAAATAATAGTAATAATATTTAAACAAAAAAAAAAACATTAATGTGTCATCATTAGTTTTCATTCATGCAATATCATTAGTATTTTAAAACAGTCATTTTAATGTAATAGTAAAATTGTCTAAATAATATAATGTCACTGGTTATCTTACATATACATATTTTGGATAATTTAATTCAGATAAATTCACTCTATGTTACAATTCATCAGTAGCATAAAGGCATCTGTCCAAAAGGAAAGCTTTTAATTTTATTTTAAAGGAACTTGCATGTAACGCTCTCTTTATATCATCATTCATTCATTCTGGTGTAGTCGCAGTTGTATGTCTTATAGTGATCTATTTTATATTTGTACATCATCCCACTTTCTAGGATGTCCGCGAAATGGAACGGCGCAAGCGTGTGGAGGCGCTCATGTCTTCGAAGCTGTTCCGCGAAGAGCTGGAGCGTGTGCTCGACGCGCAGATGCACGAAGGCAACGACGCGCCGTTGCTACAGAGGATCCGAGAGATGGTGGGCGGCAGACTGCACACTGGCAGCCTGAGGGTAAATCCAGCCAAAAGTTTATAAGATTTTAAAGTAGGGGTTTTAGTGAAACTATTTGCTTGTAGATATATCTGTATAGTACAGAACGAGCCCCACAAAACCCTATGCATAAGAAATGGAAGATGTGCTTTCTTAAACAATGGGCTAGGGTCTATATTCTTATCTTGAGTTATATAACACGACTTATTCATGGCCGCGATTTTCCAGTCGGAGGATCCTCCCTTTGTGTTGGAGTTGTCCCCTTTGATCCTTCCGTTCTTCGACAAATAAGATCCTGACAATTTATGTTTACATTTAATTGTCAAACTCAAATCTGTCATACTACATCGTTCCTGTATGAAAGCTAAGATTAGAAATGACGAAAAGATAATATTAATATAATATTCTACCGCATTCACACAACGCCATATAGTCCCAAACTATGCACAGCTTGTAATATGGCTACTAGACAACTGATATAAATACATATATGCTTTTATTTTGTAAATACATACTTATTATACATATTAAAATTAAATGTTAATGCACACAAATGTTTGACATGAGCGGGAATCGGACTCTCGACCTTTGAAATAGCAGTCCGTAAAACAAACCACTACGCCATTCGGTCGTCTAGATATGAAAAAAATATTATTTCTTTATTTACATATAAGTATATAATTCAATTGGTCCGTGTGGTGACGGATTAAGAATACAGAGTGTCACGACCTCTATTCATCCCGTGGGTGTCGTAAGAGCCGACTAAGGGAAAAAACTACGCAGAACAACAGCACTGCAGAGAGAAGGAAAACTTGACATAAACCCTATACCAACCCGTCTGGTCAGCGTGGTATAGTAGGCCAAAACCTCCTTTGTAAGGAGAGGCTTATGTCCAGCAATGGACTATTAAAGGCTGTTGATGTGATGATATAATTTGACCAGTGGATCGATTTAATATTTTTGTGTGCTGTCTATACAAATAAATAAAATTGGAGTGTCTGTTTGTAATATTAAAATAACCGCTTTTTACTAAATACATATGTATGTTTACACGGTACATATGCCAAAAAAACATTTTTTACAATTTTTGTCTGTCTGTCTGTCTGTTTGTGCCGGGTAATCTCTGGAACGGCTGGACCGATTTCGACGGGACTTTCACTGGCAGATAGCTGATGACATAAGGAGTAACTTAGGCTTAGACTAGCTTCGTCCCGCGGCGTTGCCCGCGGTTATAACAACAAACGCGGGTAACACCGCGGGTCTCAGCTAGTTAGTAAATATGAAGCTAGTGGCGGCTAAATTGTGCGCTTGTGTTAGAACAAATTAATAAATCACTCTTTCGTCTGTATACAAGTAAAGAAAGATATGGCTCTTGAAAATTGATTTACAAAGCTATCAGTGGCAGTTGTAAATAAATATTGTCTTATTTTCGTAATTTAGCTTAGACACATATAAGCTGCTGTTTCTAGAATATTCCTTAATGTAGTTCATTAAACTATTTGCCTGGTGATAAGAGGGCAAACCACCATACGGGTCACCCGATGGGAAGTATTAGGTACCTCTGCACATCACAGCAATTCAGCAGTCACAAATTGCTGGTCTGTGAGCGCCCTCGCCGGAAATAAGGAGGGGAGTTGGTTTTCCACCATCTTGCTCACTCCGTAAAATAAAACTATAGAATTGTATTTGAGCAGACGTCGATGTGAATATAATATTAAACAGACAAAAGTTTGTGTATGTGTTTGTATGTTTGTTACGTCGGCTGCCGGATGGCGTTGTGGTTTGTGTAAACGGACTGCTACGCCAAAGGGGGTTCGTGGTTTCGATTCCCGCTCAAGTCAATCATTATTTACAAAAAAAAGCATATGTTTTTGTATTAGTTGTCTAGTAGCCATAGTACAAGCTCTGCTTAGTTTGGGACTAGATGGTGTTGTGTGAATGTGGTAGAATAATATTATTATTTCAACACCTAAACGGCTGCACCAATTTTGATAAAATTTGGAATTGAGGTAGCTGACACCTAGCACCCACCTGGGTAGTAATAAATATATTCAAAATGATATTTCTTTCTTATCTCCAGGGTCCAGCATGTGTTCTCCCAATCAACGACATCCGCGGCATCGAAGGCGTGGGCTACGAGAAGGGAGAAAAGATCCTCCGTTGCAAGCTGGCAGCCGTGTACCGTCTAGTCGATCTGTTCGGATGGACCCAGAGTAAGTGGTCTTTTGTTCATCAATCATCAATCATCAATCATCAACAGCCTTTAATTGTCCACTGCTGGACATAAGCCTCTCCTTAGAAACGTCTTTTGTTAACGCACACCATTTGTAAAAGTCATTGCGTACAGAAAACTCACTTATTAGCGACTGTTTAATAAATAGCGACCTTCGTGACTAGGTGATAAGGTATAAATTAACTCGAAAATAATAAAGTCAACAAGTATTTTTTGTCAGTTTTATTTTTGTACTTAATGTGTAAGAATTTTGTATTTTATATGTTTTCGATGGTTATATGTACCTATTGATATTACTTTATAATGATTTAGCTAACGTGCGCGTTACAGGGGTGGGAGTTCCCTAAACCATTTATAAAGTGTGGTACACCTCATAGGTCACCTATCACTTTAGTCGAAGGCTTTGGTCCCCTTTGATTCAGGAGTTAGGCTATGCCTGGTTTAGACTAAACACGTTCTCGTTAGCAAGTTTAATAACTTTTAAGAAAAATATTTCAGACATCTGACACACAACGCCATCTAGTTGCAAACTAAGCAGAGATTGTAATATGAAAGCTATATTGACTGATAGAATACTTATATGTATACTTTTTGTAAATATATACATATTATACATAAAAGACACCCAAACTCTGAGACAAATATTTGCAGATTATACAAACATTTGGTCCGAGACGGGAGTCGAACCCGAGACCTCACCCAGTAGTCGCATACGCTACCACTACAAGGTAGTCAAACTAAAGATCACAATAAAAGGAGTTCATGATTTGTTTTCCTTTCCGTCCAGCCGGTATCACAGGTCAGATAACTGCCCGTCTCAACACCGCTGTGGAATCGGTCCTCACGACTCCGCGAGGGCTGTTACCGCACGAGGTCACCGCTTCTTCCCTCGTGAAGGTCGACATGCAGGGTGCCGTGCAAGACCAGGGTACAACCAACTTTCCTGTGAATGTTGAAGGTACGAGGATCGTTATGAATTTTACGTAGAATTTTGTTATTAATTAGGATGACCTAATCATTGTTTTTATATTTGAGTTTCGTTGTTTTTTTAGAAATAAAGGATTTTTTTTAATAAGACTAATAATTTAAACACATAAATCAGAAAACAGTTATGAGAATTGATTGTTATAGTGTTATTTTATTGGAATACATGTTATGTGGACATGTTTACTTTATATATCCCTTTCAATTTATTTGTTTTCCTTACCCTAGTTTTATTTAGATTAAATTAGATGCAATGACACCATTTGTAAAAGTACAGGTAGATATTGATGTCTAATTTATTTAATTGTTAAACATAAGTGCCAGAATAGCTCCTTGCGGTACACCTATATTGTGCGGCGTTCTATATCGTCTCAATTTTAGTTAAAATGAATATAATATGGTATGTAAAGTAAAACCACTCACCGCAGGTGTAGTATTTCTCTCGGAGTAAAACGCACGCGTCCTGCCATAGCGGTCGTCGGACGTGAAGAACAATTAAAAGCCTAATAAGAATCCAGTGAGTCGGTCGTGTTGCAGGTTTCTCGCTGCACGCGTCTGTGCACGCGGCGCGGCCCGACGTGCGCTGCGTGGTGCACGTGCGCGCGCCGGCCGCGCTCGCCGTGTCCGCCACGCGCCGGGGCCTGCTGCCGCTCTGCGGGGAGGCCGCGCTGCTCGGGGACATCGCCTACCACCGCGTGCCCAACGGTCAGTGCGCTCAGCCCGCTCGCACGTACTGACGATGATATGCCTGATTTTGCATCACTCATTAAAGTTTTATTTTGTGTTTTTTTTTTTACCACATTCACACAACGCCATCTAGCCCCAAACTAAGCAGAGCTTGTACTATGGGTACTAGACAACTGATATAAATACATATATACTTTTTTTTAAATACATACTTATTATACATAGAAACACCGAGAACAAACCAAACATTAAATGTTCATGCACACAAACTTGGAATAGCAATCCGTTACACAAACCACTACGCCATCCGGTCGTCAAATATTATTCTAAATATCTTTTTTGGCACCCAAAAATGTTACAAACAAACTGAAATCTGCTTTTCAAATTTTCATCCTGTTCTGGCTCACTTTATTAATTAAATAAAAGTAATGGTATTACATCTTTGATTTACTTCGTTTTTCTCTATTACAGGTATCCTCGATAACGAGGAACGCGACAAGCTGGTCCGCGCTCTCGGCCCCTCCGCCAAGGTTCTGATGCTGACTTCCGCGGGAGCCCTGTGCTGCGGAGCGACGCTAGAGGAGGCGTTCTTCCAAGCTCGGAATCTGACTGCGGCGTGTGACGTGCAACTGAAACTGGCCTCGGTTCCTTTGGACGAACTGGCTTTAATAGACGAAGAGACCAGGAGACAGGTGAGCAGTTTTGCCGTGGAAGTCGCATAGAGCCTTTTTTAGAGAATCACTAAATCTACCATTCTTTTAAACTTTAATATTTGTCTATGGAATATCACTGCTGTCTCTTTTCCTACCTTACCACACCATGTCTGGTGTCATCTTCATCCAAAACTCTTACCAAACGGTTTATATCTTAAACATTTTTGCAAACATTCCCTCACAATTTAGTAGTAATCTGTGTATGTTCTGCAGATGTACGAAGCGTCTCGCAAGCCGCCATCGGACGCGGGCAAGTGGCGCGTGGGCGGCGAGGAGTTCGAGGCGCTCATGCGCATGCTCGACAACGCCGGGTTCCGCACCGGGTACATCTACCGCCACCCGCTCATCAAGGTACGCACCCCTTTTTTTTTCCCGTGCGGAAATCCCCTCGGATACCACCTATCGGTGGCATGTCGGACTTGAACCGACTAAAACCGCACGCCGTCTCGGGTACTAATAGCCGGGGAACCAGGTATACCCTAGAAAGGAAGTCCCTGGTGCCCCGACATACCTCGGGCCATCTACAGACGAGCAGACGACCCCTCCGTGTGGGAACCCCATGTTCCCTCTGCTCCTTGAAAGTACGCACCCCTCGCCTCTATCACAGTGGGAGATGCTCATGCGCACGTTGCACAACTCATTTCCATGTAATCTCTCACAGAACGATGTGCCTCGGCCTAAGAACGACGTGGAAGTGCCGCCGGCCGTGTCGTCCCTCGGCTACCTGCTGGAGGAGGAGGAGCTGTACAAGCAAGGGTGAGTGGTGTCACGTGATATACATAGACAGTAGACCTCACACTAGCACATACAACTCGCACGTCTTCTATATATGATTCGATTGTGGTGACACACAGACAGACGCAGGCGCGCGCAAACTCGGACAGTTGCTATTCGATGTTTGAAAAGAAAAGACGGACATTTTGACGACTGGCTATTATGTATAATATTATTATTTTAACGGAATTAATTATTATTATTTACTAGCTGAGACTCGCGGTGTTACCCGCGTTTGTTGTTATAACCGCGGGCAACGAAGCTAGTCGAAAAAAGTAGCCTAAGTTACTCCTTATGTCATCAGCTATCTGCCAGTGAAAGTCCCGTCGAAATCGGTCCAGCCGTTCCAGAGATTACCCGGAACAAACAGACAGACAGACAGACAAAAATTGTAAAAAATGTTATTTTGGCATATGTACCGTGTAAACATACATATGCATTTAGTAAAAAGCGGTTATTTTAATGTTACAAACAGACACTCCAATTTTATTTATTTGTATAGATGTATAGATTACTGCTAATTATGCGGGATGTAGTCACATACCCCAATAGATTGTATGACTGGTACGGAATTCCTCCGAACCAGCTGCATCGGTTTTAAATAATTTTTTAGATTCGTTTACAATTGGACTTTTGATTGTCTCTACAAAAAAAAAACTATGAACATTGTAACGTTATCTCTGCAATGGTGTAAATTATCTGGTTTCCAATGCTTGATGATAAAAGTGTGTACTTTAATACTAATTTCAAAGTATACCTTTTATTTAAGAATGCAATTCGGGCAATGAATCTAACAGCCTTCTAATTTTTTTGTTATAACATGATCACTATTCTACAGAATATGGAAGAAAGGTCAGGGCAAGACAGGGGAGCGCACTCGCTGGCTGAACTCCCCCAACGTGTACCAGAAGGTGGAGGTTTTGGAGACGGGCACCACCGACCCCAAGAAGATCACCAAGGTAGAATACCTCAGGGTTGAGGCTGAGTAATTTTACAGTCGAACAAACGCTGCACAATAAGACACCTTCTATTTCGTTAATTTGAGAGGATTAATCGATTTTTTTATAAGTCTATTCTTATTGTGTTTACAGTTGGTCAAAGAAATATTGTTTTGGTTGAACAAATAACAGTTATGTTGACAAAAGGGAATCTAAAAAAGAAAAATATAAAAATGAACAAAAATTGACCGCTAATCACCTGCATCGTCCCCATGATTGTGATTACGTCACAAACCTATATATTCAATTGATTAATGACGTATTTGAATTTTGTTGTTTGTAGTTTTTAAAGTTCGTTTTTGTTTTTAAATCTATTCCAATGTATTTATTTAAAGCTTTTTAAAATACACAAAAAACGGTTCAGGTTTTTTTAAAAAAACAATCATTTTGTTTGTCTCAACATTCCTACTGAAAAACTATTTGCTTTTTATCTCAACAAATTAATGGAATTTAAGGTGTTTATATACCTTTATATAATGTATATTACTAGACAAGAACTCTCAACTAAAATACATTTAATTTAAACTGACTAGTTACGTGGTGAACCTAAAACTGTTACTCTGTTCCATATAGTCTTTGCGTTATATTATATTTACACCTAACAAGTGTACGGTACTCCAGCCACTCATGGGGACTAACATGGGATTTGTTGACCTTTTCAAAACACATATGTAAACACTTTTTTGTTTGTGGAACTCCACAAAGAAAATGTCCTTCACATATGACTTAAATAGAAAAGATATTGTAAAAAAAATGGAATAAAAATATATGCCATGAGAATAATCACAGTTCGTCATAAAGACAGCCAAGCCCCTTGCAGCCAAGTAGACAAGCACGGTATATTCCCCAACGTATACTAAAACTAGCTATAATACATACGTACATACGCCTGATTCCGCAAAAGGGTAGGCAGGACCGTACCGAACCCATTTTGCCAACCAGAATTTGTTCTCTCTCACTACTCCAAAGGAACACTTGACTGCACGGATGGCGTTGTGGTTTAAGCGGTCGCCACGCCGCTTCCTACTACGCCGAGTGTTGTGGGTTCAAACCCCACATGGGACGACACTGTGTGATCCACAAATTGTTGTTCTGAGTCTGGGTGTTCTTTGTGTCCGTTTCATGTATGTTTGTAAAGTCCCCCGCGACACAGGATTTATTCCTAATGCGGGAGTTGTCTTTTTTAAAAACAAAAAAAAAGAAAACTGAGAATTGCCAATAACAGATTAAATTAAAAGGGAAAAAGCCACTTGAAAATCTCCAAATATTTTTATTTGTAATAACTTGTCTAGTACAATACATAATAGGTCTTTAAATGTATATGTCATAACACGAGGAGTCATCACTCGTGTGGGTGTGTGATAGGCTGATCAAATAGTATAGGTACTGGGTATGTCATCGTTATCCAGTTGGTGATGAATGATTTCAGAGGAGGGTGTTTTATGGAGGGGTGACCACAATGTTGATGTGTAGTAAGAAGTATTAGTTACTTGTTTATTACCGAGTGAGTGACCATAGCCCAATCAACTCAAATCTGTTGGCAGAAAGTTAAATAATTATTATTTTTATTATTTGACCGTGGGAGAGCCATGCTTCGGCAAGAATGGGCCGGAGTGAAACCACGGCCTCACAGAAAACCAGTGTTAAGCAATTCTTTCGTTGCCTTTCACTGAGTGAGTGAGGTTACCGGAGCCCAAATCCCCTCTCTCGCTGACTCGAGTGGGAGGGACTCCAAGGGCAGCAACGCACTTGTGACTTTTGAGTTGCAGGTGTCCATGGGCGGCGGTAGTTGCTTACCATCAGGTGACTCGTCTGCTCGTTTGCCCCCTTATACGGTGTTACCTGCGGTTAATACACTAAAATGTGTATTATTTAACGGAGAATATTTTTTTAAATCCTTGCTCACCCCAACGGGAACACAACTTTTCTTGGGATAAAAAGTAGCCTAAGTGTTGGTGTTAGCTACCTCCATACCAAATTTTATCAAAGTTGTTCCAGCCGTTTGAGTGTGCAGAAGTAACAAACATACACACTCACAAACTTTAGCCTTTATAATATTGGTGTGGTGAGGCACATTGGAGGTGGGGATACTATTTTAAAGTTTATTATTGGTTTTCCTCTCGATTACTTCTTATTATACATCAATATAATTCCATTAGTATCTTCTAGAATTATAAAAAGATATAAGTACTTGTCTTACGTATTAGATGTAATGATTCAAAACCACTCAAACATTTATTTTACTAGGAGCACAGAATTTAGGACTATGTGTTACTTAGCTGGATGAAAATATACTTTAAATCGGAGGGAATTGAGTTTAGAATTGTGTAAACCTTTAAAAAATATTACTAATGGTATAACAACACACAATTCTAAACTCGTCCAGTGATAGATTTATTTATAGGAATAATTTATCTTTATCGATACGTAAATCACAATATTGTTATAATGACACCAGACGGCGCCACTGTGCACTACGCCAGTGGCTCCGCCTGGCGGCAAATATGCATTTATACCCCCCATTGATATACTACAACTAAGGGATTATTAGCTTAGGGTCGTATTACAGAAACTCAAGTCCCGCACAAAATTTGTTAAACTTATAGGGTTTTTGATTGTTAAATCAAATAATTTTGTCGTTACTGATAACTTGTATGATATAACAAGGAATGACGTCACGCCTTAATATTTTCAAATTAAGAACTTTTAATATAGACTCACGAATTACCCCTATTCATCCCCTGGGTGTCGTAAGAGCCGACTAAGGGAGCAAATTCTGTAGGACAACGTCACTGCGAAGAGAAGGCAAACTTGAAACCGACCCGTCCAGCGCAGTGTAGTAGGCCAAACCCTCTTTTCTACGGGGAGTCCTATGTCCAGCAGTGGACTATTAGAGGCTGTTGATGATGATGATTACAAAATAAATAGAGGAATCTTGAGACAAATACTGACGATAACATTTAGAGTATAAAGAAAAAAATAATTTTGAGGGTATAAAAACAACACAATTACTATTTGAGTAAACAAAGAATGAATATGGCAAAAAACAGTTATTTAACAGCCCTTAGGATTATTTAAATGAGTATTTTTTCACAATTGTTAACTGCCTAAATCAAAAATTGACGGCACAGATGGCGTAGTGGTTTAAGCGGTCGCCACGCCGCTTACTACTACGCCGAGTGTTGTGAGTTCAAACCCCACATGGGACAACACTTTGTGTGATCCACAAATTGTTGTTCTAAGTCTGGGTGTTCTTTGTGTCCGTTTCATGTATGTTTGTAAAGTCCCCCGCGACACAGGATATATTCCTAATGCGGGAGTTGTCTTTTTTAGAAGAAAAAAATATTGAAGTAAATGATTTGTCTAAAGCAACGTATCGCGTCACTCCTTGTTATTTCACACAAATCTATATATATATATATATATAAGAGATTTCCACGTATATAGTCACTCATCACGATATCTCTGGAACCATTAGAGCTAAAGACTTGAAATTTGGTAGGAATATTCTTTTCACCGAGTAGAGGTCAGCTAAGAACGGATTTTAAGAAATTAAAAAAAAACATTTTTAATAATGTAAATAGCAAAACAACGTTTGCAGGGTCAGCTAGTGTTTAATACAATAGATACCGTTTTGACCTTTAACATAGAGATTTATTTTTTGATTTGACAGTCAACTACAAACACTAAAATCCTACTCAGTCAGTAACTAGTTATGATCTGTTCATGAGTTTTGAACAACCCTCTGTCATACGACCCTTCACAGCTAACAAATAATGTTTACTTCTGTTTATATTGTATATCAATGTCAATATAACATAAGAATATATATAATACATGTTACCTCTAACTGGAAACCATTTTGCCATTACAATTTATAATATTCTACTAGGATATGTAACAGAGTGGTATCATAACATACATATTTACACACAAATTTGTGTTAGTCATACAATTTATTCAAACACTGAATTAGTTATCTGTTATTAAGTATCGTGAACTATTTCCAAAGAGATAAACCTACTTATGCAAACGGAAACCAATCCCCACACCTATCAAAATCGAGTATAGTGTACAGTAACTTTCAAAATGCACTTTCTATCGACTATGTAGAGATCAAAATGATCTGACATGGTGACTGACCAACACATTCTTATGACAAATTTACCAAACTACATCAAACCAATTGCTAAACTCACCGGACAATCTGAGAAATCTGTGAAACCGTTTATATATTCAATATTCATATAACAAAAACAGTTCTTTTTCTCAAAATTATCATACACACACGCATATGTAGGTAAATGTGTATTTAAGTGTATAAATATTTATACCAAATTGCTTTTGCCGTGGTTACCATAACCATATCGAAACGTCTGACAATTAAAAAATATATAATATACAGACCTATTTCTTAGCCTACCATGGATTCACCGTGGAGGTGCCAAGTCCATCGCGTGATAGATGGCAGCACCATGTAGGTTTAGGGCGTCAGTGCTCACCTCCATTGTCTGCTGTGTTAACCTCCCCACCTAACCATATTTAATACGAACCTAACAATACCAAAAGAGTTTTTGGTAATCCAAGGTATCCAAAAAATTTGATGGGGTATCCCTCGCACTCACTTACACGGCATACAACGCCCCGAAATAGCCATTTCTAGTTATTTCGTTGGTTAAGCCAAAGTAATTGTGTAATTCCGTGTCCGTGTGGTGACGGATGAAGAATACGGAGTGTCGCCACCCTCGTTCATCCCGAGGGTGTCGTAAGAGCCGATAATAGCACTGCAAAGAGAAGGCAAACTTGACACAAATCCTATATCAACCCGTCTGGCCAGCGTGGTGTAGTAGGACAAAACCTCCTTTCTAAGGAGAGGCCTATGTCCAGCAGTGGACTATTAAAGGCTGATGATGATGAATTGTGTAATTCATGCCCGTATAAAAAAAATGTAATTAATCATTGTGTGGGTTTGATTCCCTGTTTCATAAGTAAGTTTAAATATCCTACATAATATCAGTGACTGATTCTAAAATCGTTCTTCCATAACTAATAACTACTCTCATTTTATTTTAAAACATTCCATTTTATATTAACATATTATTTTTTATATTTTTACTTGGGATCTTTTGGGTAGTAGTGGCATTTATATTTTTTGTTTATTTTCGTATTATACTAGGTTTTGGGTAAACATAGATGTTTCCTTATCAGCGGATATGATGTTAACCAACTTTTAATAGTTTATAAGGATTTTGTGCGGAATATAGTAATTGTGTGTTTCTTTTTCTATATATTTTGTGCTCAAAATGGCTCAAAAATCTTATTTTTATATATATTCTTTTCACTGTAAAATCAACGTCAATCAATTCGTGAAAAGATAAAAGTATATTTATTTGAGATTAATATATAATACGTTTTATAATATTATTAAATGCTTTAGCCTAAGTGTGTATAATTTACGAAAAAAAAAAAACTAGAAACTTTTTGATATTAAATCTTGTTTTACTTTTCATAAATACATCTATATTTTGTTATAAATCTTATCAATATTATCAAAAAGTTTCCCCACTAAGCGGGATTGTGTAAAACATGCTTTGAATATAATTATTATGCTTATAGATATGTTAAAAGAATATAAATCTATGGTTAATATTAAAAGTATAAAAAAAAATAACAACAACTTTATATTTTAATGCTTCACTCAAATAATGAAATGCTTTTGACGGTTTTGTATTTGTTATTTGTTGTGTGTTTTACATTACTAATGTAATAATGTTTTCCAGTGGGTGGACGCTAACAACGAAGAGGTAATGCCGACCACATTTTAATAATAACTCATTTCATTTTGACATAATTCTTTGACATTGACACCTGTCAACATTTTGACATTTTCATTGTTCGAATATGAAAGTTAGTTTACGGTTATAGACAACTTATGTGTTAATATAGCTTTGAACATTTGATGGTCAGATCTTCTAATTGAGTGTGGAATTTTGCAGTTATTGAATTTTAATGATAGGTTTATTTTAATCCGTAAATTAAACTAGCTGGTACTCGAGATTTCGTTCGTATGGGATTTGAAAAGCGCTGCCTTAGTGGGTTCGATTCCCGGATCGGGGTAATTTTTTATAGGGTTTTTCTGAGAGGATAAATGGCCTAAGTTACTCCTTATATAGACAGCTATCTAGTATTAAAATATTATCAAAATCGGTTATCTGATTATGAAACATACATATTGGTTCTGTAATTTGATGTTTTCTGGGCCAGAATTTTACACATATTTTTATTTTAGGTTACAAAGCGAAAAATCTGTCAATAAATACTTTGACGGATAAAACATTGGATGTGTGACAAAGTCAAGAATTATGTCAAATGTAATTCTCTTTTCTATTCTTTTCTTTACTTTTCAAAGCTTTTCCTAACACTTTTGGGGCCTCGGGAGTTTTCGTCGTGAAGTCCAATATTACCACTAGTGAAATATCTTTAATATCCATATGATATATTGGAATAATGTTTATTCGAAAGCATTTCATTATGGCAACCCTGGTTTGGAATAAAATATTTTATTCGAACATCGAGTCTGTACAGTGTAGTTTTGTCACAATATTGGTAGTTATGTTGCCACATGTAAATACTTCTTCCCGTTTCCTTGCACGACCTGAATTTATTTCTTCCCGTTTATCCTTCGAGCCGTGCCTGCAGTGCGCACGGTTTTTTATAAAATATTAGTTTACAATATGTAGTAGGACTATTTAAAAAAATAAGGTACTCCTTTTATTTTCAAGGCTGTGCTAGAATGTCAGTTGTGTTGTATGTTTTATTTAAAAAAATGCTTTCTCTAAAGCTCTGTCCGAGCGAATGTAGCTTTTAAAAATGCTTGGTTATTTAAAAAAAACGTTTGTTTTGCATGGGGAATGAATTTGAATGTGCTTATGGCCGAAATGCAAAAATATCTGTACTGTACACGCTCGATGTATTACCAGGTGTAAAAAAAAACGCAATTTTTATCCTTTTTTTGTTTATTTTTTTCTTTCTTCGCACAAGTCTTTTACTATTTTTTATTATTAAAATATAAATGCCACCTACCATTATCCTAAAACTAACCTTTTCCAAACGGATACCGATAAATATTTGTAATAAAAAAAATATTTGTCGTATTTCCGCACAACATGTTGGCAACATTGTTACTAATTTAATTTTTTTTCTCTTTTTTTTCTATCACGTTCGGTGACTACACTACGGAAACGGAACTTCAATGTGCGAATAAAATGAAAATATCCTGATAATATCATGACACGATTAAATAATTAATTGTGTGGTTGTCATGAACAATTAAACACAAATATGGCGTGCAATGACATAAAACTGATAACTCTCTGATGGTGTTACGTAATGGAACTAAACTTACAACTGTTCCTGTTGTCAAAAATTATACACGTGACATTGACAAAAACGCATGTCATATGATGACACCGCTGTCAAACACACCCATTATTATGACGTCACATGTCACGACGTGACCAACATTTTTATAATAAACAATGCACATAACGAAATGGAACCACGATGATTCGTTACGTGTTGGATGTGTAACATGATGGTATTGGCCAATGATGTAATGGATACAGTGGGTACAAGACAGTTCGCCGGCCCACTCCAGCACGCCGGTCAAGATTGATACCCTACAGTTCGTGCCGAAGAACACCAACCCTAAGGAGTTCAAACAATTGCAACAACAGGTAAGCAAATTGAATTTTAAATTAAATTTTGACAGCACCAATGGAGTAGTGGTTAAGGCGCTGAGTGTTGTGGGTTCGATCCCCCCCCCCCCCCTCATGGGAAAATACTTTGTTTGATCCAAAAATTGTTGATCTGAGTCTGGGCGTTCTTCGTGTCCGGTTCATGTATGTAAAATGTTCATAGTACGGGCGTTGTCTTTTAAAAAGAGGAATAAAAGAAAGGATCTCCTAGAAAGATGTATACTGGCCAGATGGGCAGTATACTGCAGAGGGGTCCAGTACTCGTAACCGGCGAGAGTGAGTGAAAGTTTTGATGAATGTGAAAGAGTCCGGCAGATACCCTTTTTTTTTTTTACCTTGCGAAAATCCCCTCGGATACCACCTGTCGGTGGCATGTTGGGCTCGAACCGACTAAAACCGCACGCCGTCTCGGGTACTTATAGCCGGGGAACCAGGTATACCCTAGACAGGAAGTCCCTGGTGCTCCGACATACCTCGGGTTCATCTACAGACGAGTAGACGACCCCCCCCCCCCCCCCCGTGTGGGCACCGGCAGATACCCTGGATGTTTCCGTCCAAAGGACTTGAAAATATATATGTATAAGTGTCGCCTGACGGTAGAGTTACTTCTGAAAGTCGTGAGATCTAACTTAAAGTATCCTACACCCTGGGTCTTGAGTTGATGAAGATTAAGTGGTGTAGGTGTAACTTTTAAATACTGTTTCTTAACACATTGTATATAATATACAAATCACTGAGAACTATGATTGTGCGATATAAGTTCAGCAGTTACCGCGTAGTTCGTGTTGTCTGCACTAGATGGCGCTGTAATACATTTTGTCACTAATGGATGTCATGTTCCTAAGATAGAGGCCACATATCGACGTTATACGCGTATCCACGTATTACTTCTATCAAAAAGAAACCCGTTTTTTTTTTTTTGAGGGAGTTTCTTCTTAACTGTATAGGGTTTTTAAACTTGAAAATGCAGGAGTTTTATTACTTACTAGCTGACCCGCACAACTTCGTCTGCGTCTCTCAATAGTAATAAATTTTCTCCGTTTTTGAAACATTCTTCATTGGTGCTCCGCTCCTATTGGTCTTAGCGTGATGATTTATAGCCTATAGCCTTCCTCGATAAATGGGCTATCTAACACTGAAAGAATTTTTCAAATCGGACCAGTAGTTCAAACAAACAAACAAATAAACAAACAAACAATCTCTTCAGCTTTATAATATTAGTATAGATGTGAGTTTTATTCAACACAGCTACAGTGTATAAATTCTTAGCCATTTTAGTTCAAAAATAAATAGAACAGGATAGAGTTGATATATTCCATCATTATGTGTTTTTAACCTGTTTCGTCTTGATAGATCAAGGAGTACAGACGCGCAGACAAGATAAGCGCGGGCCCGCAGTCCCACATCCTGGAGGGGGTGACGTGGGACGAGGCCAGCAAGCTTATTGGCGAGGATGCCGCCAACACACACACCGGGGACCACGTGGTGAGTGCTGGAACAAATGCCTTCTAACCGACTTAAACTAAAGGAGGTTTCTTTATCTATTGGTATTATCATTGTATTAACAGTTCGTGTTAATTTATTTAAAAAAATAGCTAGTGCCTGCGGCTTCGCCCGCGTCAATGTTAGTTATCGCGGTCTTAAACAGCCTATGTCTTTCCCCTATGATCAAAGTATCTCCATACCCAATTTCATCTAAATCAGTTTAGCGGTAATTGATTCCCCATACATAGTTCTACCCCCCTTTTCAACCCCTTAAAGGCAGATTTTTAGGATAAAAAGTACCCTATTTCCTTTCCCATGTGTTAGACTATCTTTATACCGAATTTTATCTAAATCGGTTAAGCGGTTTGAGGTAATACACAGACAGACAGACACTTTCATTTATAATATTAGTATGGATAGTATTGGTGAAGTAATAGATCTTTCTGCCCTTTCATAGCCATATTTATAAACTCGTTTAAAAATATATGTATTTGTAACCAACGCTTAAAGTTCAATTTCCCTTGAGCGATAAAATGCTGAATACCAATTAAATACTAACCTTATGACATTTAAATAGAGCTGAAAATCGTATGCAAGTAAAACAATTTTGACGGGCCTGTAGGTTTAGTGGTTAGTGACCTCGGCCACTAAGACAGAGGTCGTGGGTTTGCTTCCCATTTAGGATAAATAATTGTGTGTATGTATTTGTAAATAATTAAGTAAATTTATCAGTAGTTTGGTTTAGTTCAGCTTTGTTACGGATCAGGCGCAAAAGTGTGAAGTTATCAATACAGTTTATCAGACAGCTGCGTACGATTTTCAACTCTATTGCAATAAAACAAATTTAGTTTTAATCGGTATTCGAGAAGCGTTTTGAGTGAGTGAGCACGTGTGGGGCAGGTGCTGATGGGCGCGGCGTCGAAGGGCATCATCCAGCGCGGCTACCAGCACAACGCCACCGTGTACTCGGCGCCGTACGCGCGCAACCCCTTCGACCACGTCACCGACAACGAGATCGACGAGTACAAGCGCACCGTCGAGCGCAAGCAGCGCCCCGGGGACTGTGAGTGCGCACCCGTCCTTGTACACACCGCACCAGCCATTCAATTACAACAAGTCTAACCACTCCACTGCTGGACATAGGCCTCTCCTTAGAAAGGAGGCCTACTATACCACGCTGGCCAGACGGGTTGGTAGAGGGTTTGTGTCAAGTTTTCCTTCTCTCTGCAGTGCTGGTGTTCTGCGTAGTTTTTTCCCTTAGTCGACTCTTACGACACACTCGGGATGAATAGGGGTGGTGACACTGTATTCTTAATTCGTCACCACACGGACCACATTTATTACATCAAGTCCTGTTTATTCTGTAGCTACCCCAGTGTCATGATCCGAATATTTTTTATGGACAGATTTTTAATCAAAATCAATGTCAATTGTAATCAGACGACTGGATGGCATAGTGGTTTGTGAAACGAACTATTATTCCAAAGGTCGCGGGTTCGATTCCCGCTCAAGTCAAACATTTGTGTGCATGAACATTTAATGTTTGATTTGGTCTGGGTGTTTCTATGTATAATATGTATGTATTTACAAAAAAAAAGTATACATGTATTTATATCAGTTGTCTAGTAGCCATAGTACAAGCTCTGCTTAGTTTGGGACTAGATGGCGTTGTGTGAATGTGATAGAATATATTATATTATTATTATATCCACAAATAAAACTTGCATTAGTAGATTATTAATGACGTAATTGTTATTTTTGTGATTATTATTCAAAATCTCAGTTTTATTTAGAAAGGTATTCCTTGACATCGGGGAGGGTCGTCTACCTGTTGTTGTAGATGGCCCGAGGTATGTCGGGGCACCAGGGACTTCCTTTCTAGGGTATACCTGGTTCCCCGGTTATAAGTGCCCGAGACGGCGTGCGGTTTTAGTCGGTTCGAGTCCGACATGCCACCGATAGGTGGTATCCGAGAGGATTTCCGCACGGAAAAAAAAGGTATTCCTTGACAAATATCGTAATGTTTGTGTCTGTACTAATACTATGATTTGGTAACTTCTTTAAGTTAGAGGTCCTAGGCCAGCGTGGCCCTATGGTAAAGACATTATTGGTTAAAAGTATATACACAAACACCTTCTAAATATGTATAATCGTCAACTAAACTGTATAATTATCAGAGGTTTAAATAGTAATATGTAATAATAATAAGTAATGAAATGCAAAATTAATCACAAATGTAACGAGTTGTGCGATGTTCCAGACGACACGGACCTGTCGGAGTCCGAGGCTCTGAGCGCGGCGCAGGTGACGTCACCCGCCAGCGCGCCCTCCGAGACCGAGGAGGAGTCGCGCGACGGTACGTGCCGCACTCGTACACCCCCCATACCACCATACACCCCACACACCTCCACACACCACCATACACCCCACACATCTCCACACACCACCATAGACTCCACACACCTCCACACATCCCCATACACCTCCACTCACAACCATTCACCCCCACACACCTCCACACATCCCCACACACCTCCACACATCCCCACACCACCATAGACTCCACACACATCCCCACACACCCTCACTTACCCCCACACACCACCATAGACTCCACACACCCCCATACACCCCTAACACCCTCATACACCCCTAACACCCTCATACACCCCCATACACTCCTAACACCCTCATACACCCCCATACACTCCTAACACCCTCATACACCCCCATACACCCCACACACCCCCACAAGTATCATAACCCAGTACAGTTGTGTGGGGGTGCCCACTCAACTGTACTGGGTTATGATACTTTTCCCTCCAAGAATAAACACTAAAAAAAGTTTTGGTGAATACACCGACTAAGTTATTTTTTAGAATTGTACAACATCAACCAACCGCTGCTGGGCATAAGCCTCTCCTTAGAAAGAAGGTTTTGGCCTACTATAACACGCTGGCCAGACGGGTTGGTATAGGGTTTGGGTCAAGTTTTCCTTCTCTTTGCAGTGCTGTTGTCCTGCGTAGTTCCCATAGTCGGCTCTTACGACACCCACGGGATGAATAGGGGTGGTGACACTATATTCTTAATCAGTCACCATATCATTGTAATAGAACATAATATAAAATGAAATTTACGGGAAGTGCGGCAGAAAGTCTCATTTTGTTGTCCATGATGGGAATCGAAACCATGACCTCCATCAGTCAGAATCGCTAACCATTAAACCAACAGACCAGTCGATTAAACTTTTTTGTGTCTATCTAGAAAATTGAATGAAGTTATAATAATTTAACGTTTTAATACTTCAGAAAATTAAATAAAAAACTTATTCCACAGAACATCGCGTGCTAAGAATAGAAACGAAACAAGCGCCGGTCCGCAGTCAACCGGAAGTCGTCCTAAGTGACGGTAAGTACACAATTATAACAAAAATATCTCTTGTTTAATCCATTTTGACATTATGACTAGTTTTTTTACTTAGTTAAATTCTATATTTAAGTTCCGTGTCACATGGACCACACAAAACCTTTGTATGTATTAAATAGAAAGAAATTACCCGTATTTGCACTGCAACAAAAAAACTGTATTTTAAAACTATGAAATAATTACTCATCATCATCATTATCATCAACAGCCTACAATAATCCACTGCTGGACATAGGCCTCTCCTTAGAAAAGAGGTTTTGGCCTACTATACCACGCTGGCCAGACGGGTTGGTACAGGGTTTGTTTCAAGTTTTCCTTCTCTTTGCAGTGCTGTTGTCCTGCTTAGTTTGCTCCATTAGTCGGCTCTTACGACACCCACTGGATGAATAGGGGTAGTGACATTCCGTATTCTTAATCCGTCACCACACGGATGAAATAATTACTAATAAATTAAAATATTAATTACTAGTTACTCATCTTAAGTATGAATACAGTTTGGTATAATCATTTAAAGAAAGTGTCAACTAAATTGTAATTCTTATTTATAAAATTCTCGTGTCATAATGGTAGTTACCATACTCCTCCGAAACGGCTGGACCGATTTTTATTAAATTTTGTGTGCACATCGGGTAGGTCTGAGAATCGGCCAACATCTATTTTTCATACCCCTGTGATGACAAGGGTGACCCTAATTTTTTTTTCAATATTTCCTAGAAATAATGTATATGGCAAAACAACGTTTGCCGGGTCAGCTAGTAAATTGTAAAAATACAGATCGTGTTCTTCAACCTCAGAGGTGGATTAGTATTTCAAATATATACAAATAATCATTGAAATTGGTTCACAAATGCCGAAGACAAAATAACATACAAACAAAAAAAAAACCACGACGCGTTTAAGATGATCGAATGGGTCTTATTATGTGAAGGAATGAAATATTATGATGATATCATACCGAGGCTTAATAATTGCTTAGGACTGGTCGAAGTCCAACTATTAACAAAAAAAAAGGAATATGCAAAATAAATAACCAGATAATTCTTATTGCGCATTGCAGAATTAGTCCTTACAAACGTACTTCGGTTGATATCCGCTAGATGGCGCTAAAATATATTTTTACTTCTCGAATTTGTACAAAGGTTTTGTGTGTGCCGTCGTGACAAGTTACTAGACCCAAGTTTTGGGTGCTGGAGTGTTAGCACGCCCCCTATCCTGCCTGCTCGTAGGAGGCATGTGTTGGATCTGACCTTAGCTCGGTATGTTGTAGTGTAGCCGGCGGGTAAAGTATTTGATACAGTTATTGAAGTGAGTTTTGAAGTGTGACATCTTTCATCTCGCTTTGACGTCGGAACGGGGGGGGGGGGGGGGGGCGAAAGGGACGGAAGTGTGTTACTATTTATTTGATTTGACCTATAAGCGCGCGGCGCTAGAATTGTACGTCAGATGGTAGGTGAGAGATGTCAGGTGTGCGACCGTTTTTATCCGTTTTTGTATTTTTTATATGTAAATAATTATATTTTAATTTTTTTACATAAAACTCATTCTAAGTAATTGCATTATTATTACAGTAAAGCAGTATCTCGAAATAAGCAGGGATCTTCCATTAATTACGTTGAGTTTATGGAGTTTGTAATTCTTTGAAAAGATCTAGAAGAGATGATACTACGCCATAATTGTGCGTTTCTTTACAAGCTTATTGTTATTATATTATTGTCTGTTACTATTCTTATTCTCTTCTTATTGCTAAGTCTCTTAATCTTTGTTTTCTTTACAACGCAAGTCTCTTTTTAACTATACGTTAAATATTATCTACCATCTTAATTATATATTTCTAAAAACTAACATAATATCGATAAATTACATCCGGACGCAGAGCATATGATCGTATTCATTACTAAACTACTGGTCCTGTTCGAAAATCAAACCAACGATGGTAGCTTAGCATTCTGAATCACTAAACACTAGGCTGTCTTGTCTGTTACAATTAATTAATTAATTCGACTGCACGGATGGCGTAGTGGTTTAAGCGGTCGCCACGCCGCTTCCTACTACGCCGAGTGTTGTGGGTTCAAACCCCACATGGGACGACACTTTGTGTGCTCCACAAATTGTTGTTCTGAGTCTGGGTGTTCTTTGTGTCCGTTTCATGTATGTTTGTAAAGTCCCCCGCGACACAGGATATATTCCTAATGCGGGAGTTGTCTTTTTAAAAAACTGACAACTGAAACTGTAGGCAAATCTGAAACTCAACGGCTAAACTGACATTTTACGTAATTAATGGACGTTCCATGCAATATTTTGTACTTGGATTTAATAAAAAAAGAAACATTGGTCATAATTATATTACTATGTGTGCATGCGAATGCGTTTTGTAAATGATTGTAAATCTTTTAGTGGACACCACTGATTTCTTGAACTCGGAGCGAGCTCACGCCGATCGGACGAAAGGTTTGTTATACGTACTGTGGTACATCTCTTTAGTACATATACCTGTGTATACTCACGTATTCTGGTCACAACAATCAGTCACTCGAATATCGACCTTATGTGTTTTTGTACTTGATTTAAACTACAACAAAGTCAATTGATCTTACTAACAATTTAAGACCGGCTCAACGTATGTTTATGAAATTCAGCACAGAGATAGATATCTTACCGCAAGATAGATAGATATTTTGCGAAATACCGCAGACGAAAACCCAAAATAACTCCCAGTTACAAACAAACATACTTGATAAAAGCGTGTTTAAAACTGGTTTTTGTGACCAATACAAGGCTGATATGTCTGTAATTGTTATCAATGTACTTCTGAATGACACTGTCCTTCTGGATAAAGAGCCGAATATTTTTAGTAAGACTATTGATTTTTTTCAATAGATATTCCAATATTAAGATATTTGTTAAAGTTACGAACATGTCAGCCAAATAACTTACCAAATAATGTAGTGCATGTTTTTCTTCTAATTTTTCTCACTAATGAGTGTATCTAAAACTTTTCTAATTAGTTTTGCTTTTATTACTATTACGCTTATTCTTTTATTGTATTTAATTCTTCTATATGTTTTTCTTTTCTGTTATTATAAAAATTACACTTAAATGACAAAAAAAATATTGGTCACTAGTAAGCCCAAATATTTAAAATATAAATTAAAACACTTTTATGAAGAAAATTAAACTTTAAAACAACAAAAATACACATAAAAAAATATATTATAATTTTTTTAAATTGTTGAACGAAATTCTAGTAGTGCACCAACAAGTCGTCCACCGAGACCCGAACTTGTTGTCAGACGACGAGGTGTTCTTAGACTCTCCCGCGTCGCCGCTGACGTCGTCAGGGATGACGTCACCGTTGTCACACGTCATCGTTAGAGGTGAGGGAAGTGCCTGGCTGTGGCTGTGAATGGAGTGGTTGTGTGATTAGCAGTATTGGTAGACTTTGATTGGTTTTAATTAGACTTGCAACGAATAGTATATTCGGCAGTATACTGAATACCGAATATTCGGCGAGGCCCCTGACCGAATAGCCGAATATTAGGCAAAAGTATTCGGCTGGATTTTAGCGCCAAAAACTTGTACAGACGTGAATTAAATTATGTACCTGTTTTATGTACCAATGACTACTTAATAAATGATTATAAAATAAATGAGAACCTTACCCTTCTAAATTTTGATTACCACAATAATTCAAATACATAGAATCCTCCATTTTTCTAATTCAGAAGATGATTATGTACCTGTGTTATGCACCAATGACTACTTAAATGATTATAACAGAAATGAAAATATGAATATATACGTAATCAATCGATTTTAATTTTTCATTTTACCAATTATTTCTCAATGACAAAATATATTATTTAAGTATTCGGTATTCGGCCGAATAATATGTAGATATTCGGTATTCGGCCGAATATAATAAAAGCAGCCGAATAGGCCGAATACCGAATAGTAACCGAATATTCGTTGCAAGTCTAGTTTTAATACAACGTGTTAATGAATGGTAGTTGTTATAGTTTTGGGGAGTTGTGAGGGGAAAATTTTGATATAGTTCTGATAAATACTTTTATATCTACATGGTATTTGTAATAGTTATCTCAACTTGAGATAACTATTAATAGACTATTCGGATGTCTTCGGATATTTCTTATGAACTAGACTATCAAAATTGCCGTGCAAAACCGTGGGAGTTTCCTGCTTTGGTACATCAGATCTGAATCGACCGGAGTGATGCCACGGTCTCTTGTATTTCACCGGTGACTGAAGTTCTCTTAGACCCTACCTGAATTTGAATGAATTTCATTGGGTTTAGGCGATCCTGCCATACATATAGAAATCACCTAGGACCCGTAATATTTTGTGGCAGTGGTGCTTCCATGTTTAAAAGGGTGTATGGCTATTTTACTTCATTTTGTCTCCCACTTTGCTAAGGAGAGAAGTGGATTTACTGTATTTCCAACTCCTCCAATTTTCTTCTGATTAATTTCGTTGCGGGTTCCAAGACAGTTTAATTTTCTCCTGTGACTTCCCGAGTGTCATAACTCGGTGTGTTCGTGGGTCACTGCTGTGGATCCTGGTGTACAGGAGTTACAGTGGTGAGCGTGTGGGTGGGCTTAGTCCCAGTAAAAGACCCCACCTACCCCTTAAACTGTTTCGAGGAGAGGACCCACTCAAACGTATGCGATGGTTATGGTATTTTACCAGGACGAAGAAAGCATACATGATTAAAATCCACTACATTTTTTGTATACTCTAAAATATGACAAATCCTGTTTATAATACGTTGTATATTGGTGTCTGCTATGAATTGCGTTTGTCAAGTGTATGTGTGTGTGTGTGTGTGTGTGTGTGTGTCAAGTATGTATGGAAATAGATAGAGATCTGCATTGTCCAGAGTACTTTTAGCACTCCAGCTATGATCGCCTATATTGACTGTTATTGATATGTTGAATTGTTCGGAATGTGGTAGATCGCATGTTGGGTGTGATTTCAGGATGATTAGAACAGAATACCTAAGCAATTATTCAGAGAAGAAGAAAGTTAGAGTACTAGAGTATATTTGTCATAGAAACAGTTATTTATACTTGTCTCTTGTCGAAAACCTAGTAAAATAGACGAATTCATTCTTATTCTTATTTGGATTCTTAATTCTGAAAGACGGAAGAGAGTGAGTGTAAAAAGTGTTTGCGACATTGAAGATTGAAAGTAAGCAATCATTGACAGTAGTTTTATGATCTAAAGCTATGCCGCGAGATCCTCAACTGATGTCTGATGATGAGAGGGTATTTTTCTCCAATGAGCCGCGCCCTGCGGTCCAGGGTCCTGTTGTAGTCAGAGCTCACCATGCTGCTGTGCAACAGACTGTCTCCAGAGGTGAGAATGAGGGTTGCACGTTCGGCTCGAAGGACCAAGATGTATTAATCTATTTTCCTATCTCCAGATTGAAGTTTGATCACTATATATAGAAAGGATCTTTTATTTAAAATAGTGTAGACACAATTCCTACTACGTATACTTTATATAGGCAAACATTTAAAATATTATACAATATACTCGTACAACATTTCTATAATTTGACATTGAGAATAATTGACATTGAGTCTTTAAAATTTAGTTAAAATCATCATAATTAATTGGTTAATTTGAGCAAAATTCTTTAACAACAAATGCAATTTGGTACAGAATTGAGTGGTCACTATTAATTCATATTTTGAAAATGGCAAAAAGAATTTAACAATTTACTTATAAATCTAATAATCCTCATTAGAGAACACTCGCATGAAAGAAACTGTACACATTTTTGATTAAAATGTCTGCACAAAAATTTAAATTATGTTTCATAATCTGATTGTTTTTATATCAATCAGATCTTTGTGGGCTACACATCATCATCACCTTTAACAGTCCACTGCTGGACACAGGCCTCTCCTTAGAAAGGAGGTTTTGGCCTACTATACCACGCTGGCCAGACGGGTTGGTATAGGGTTTGTTTCAAGTTTTCCTTCTCTTTGCAGTGCTGTGGTCCTGCGAAGTTTGCTCCCTTAGTCGTCTCTTACTACACCCACGGGATGACTAGGGGTGGTGACACTCCGTATTCTTAATCCGTCACCACACGAACTACACATAACCCCCATATTATAACCCAAGCTTTCTCTAACAGTCTGTATAGAACTTAACGGTTTCCACACTAATATTTTAAACGTAACTTTTCGATCTGGATATAGGAAATTAGATTGAAATAAATTGAGCTGTACCATCGCTATCACTCGTCTATGACAGTGCTTGTCTTACCTTTTAAGCTATGGACCGCTTCTGACACTGATGATGTGTCAGTCATTTATAACCCGGCAATCTCGTGCGCGACCGTCCCGCGGGGTGACAGACAGTGGCGGGGGCGAGGTAGCGCGTCATTCTAGCACACGGCTACACACGAAGAGAAGCGTTTAAGTACCTCGTCCCCGCCACCGTCTGTCACCCCGCAGGACGGTCGCGCACGACGTTGATGGTCTATAGTACATATTGTGTCGTTACAAATTCAGTCACATTGTGCCGTAATCATTACTTAATAATCACCATTTGGGTCATCAGTCATATTTGGGTCGACTATTTCGCATGACAAGTTACGATGCCTGGGAGTCATTTCATATTTGTGTCGTTTTACAATTGACTAATTATCTACGCTGGTCGACGTATTGTGGTAGGTAGTGCAAGGTAATGCAATTTAATACACCTCATAAATGGCCGTCTGATACGAAACTAGGCAAAGCCTGTGAAACATATATATTACTAAATTTCCATAAATTCGCGTTTTAGATAACACAGAACAAATGATCGTGTTCACAATAGTTTTTCCTTAAAATAAGTCGAATTATAGAATAACATATAACAAGGATAGCCAAAAAAAAAAAACTAAAATCTAAGACCAACTCGTTGATAAAACAAGCTGTACTTTATTATATTAGTAAAAATATGTAGTTTACTCTCTTCTTAGTAGATCTCTCCTGCAGTTCAGTAGAAGTAGACCTTGTTTACTAAACTCACATTAACACATTCAATCCTTTTGTAGGTAAAACAGAAGATAAAGAAGCCCTATCAACTAACAAACGTTCAAAACACGATTATTCTCGAATATCCAACTTCGAAAATATCGTCAAAAGTTTTGATACACCCCCCAAAGTGCCCAAATGTAAAGTTAGTCTTAGCACCAGGTTAGGTCACCATGAGTTAGGGCATGCCAGTAGCAGATCTAGCTTACACTCCATACCTTCTATAGAATGGGACGCTAGATGCAAATCCGACGGCGTTCTTAAAACTAGATCTTTATCTAGACAAAAGAGCGGCACCGGTAAACTTTATAGAACACAGTCCTACAGCGGTTTCATAAATTCGTACATCAAAGATCCCGAACCAAATCATTACCATCTACCTAGGTGTAACTCTTGTGGAACAACTAATCTCTCCTATACGTGGGAGTTGAGTAAAGAGGAGAAAACTCTTAAACCTAAAGCCTCTTCTATATTTCGATCGGTAGATAACATTCATCAGAAGTGTGCAGAAGAAATAGATAAATCTGTGTGCACACATGTTAAAGTGCAGGAAAAATTCGTTCCGGTCTTCAAAGTTGACAAAAAAGATGGCGAGTTTGTTGAAAGTCAAGAATTCAATGAAGATAATTATATAGAGGATATAGGTCACAGCTTCTCGTCTGAAAATCAGACGGTTATTGAAAAAGACGAGTCTCATAACCCACCACTTCATACCATTGAACGAACTGTCCCTGGTGACGATGCGTCTTTAAAGCCTACTGTGCACATAGATACGATAGAAGATGCTAATGCAACCATAGAATCGACTGAAGGGGAATACCATAGCTTTACTGATTTAGAAGAATCATATGAAAGCCCAGTTAAAGAGTTAGTAGAGAAAGATATCAGGGATTATTCTGTACCTATAAACTTTTACTGCGAAGACTACAAGACTAATGATGATAAGCGATCTCCATTGAAAACTAAGAACGTTCTAGAACCTATTTTAGAGGAATCTAAAAGTTCGTACGGGGATGAGTGTAACACATCACAAAATGATAAGAAAGATGTCATTGAAACATCGTTGACTGCTGTCTTAGCTGCAAGTTTAACAGAGAGCGATTATGAAGTTGAAATTTCCAACGTTGATATTGAAAAAATAGCTTCACAAATAGAAACAGAGTGTGTTGAACAGTTGAGCAAAGACGTAAACGTCACTGAAAGAGATATAGATGATGTTCATATAAACGATGAACCAAATCTATATCCAATACCTGAACAAGAAATAAATAATGATATTAACGGGGATATAAAAGTAGTTTTAGAGAATGAAGTGTTTGTAGATATTGGACGACAAGTTTCCTTAGCAAGCACAATGAGTTCAAATGACAGAGTAAGCTTCGATTCAACAGCTGAATTCGAGAAATACGAAGTTGTGGCCGAGATCATAGCTATTATAATAAACAGGATTGAAATTATGTTACCGGCTGTAAAAGTTACTCCAGAAATTAATGATGTTCAGGATGAAGAAGCGATAGAAACATTTTCTATTGCAAAAATAATTGAAGATATAGAACAAAACGTACATTTAAATGACACAATTTTAACAGAAGTTAGTGATACAGATTTCGTTCAAACAAATAAAGTGGTTGAAAGTATTGTGTATTATATATTTGATAGAGTCATGTTTGTGAGTCGTGAGAAGAGTAGGACAAATAAAAAGAATGAGAAAAAAGTAATCACTGTGGTTGATTCCGAAGACATTCTTTATACGGCCAAATATGTTTGGTTGGATTGTAATGAGGAAGAGGAAATATTAAATATTGAACCAATTCAAATTGAACAAGTTGAACTAAATATACTTCAACAAAGTCAACAGACAGATACTGCTTTTAATGTATGTTCAAATATAGATTTTAATTTTAAAGAAAACAATTTTACTTTAGAAAATTGTAGAGATGCTAAAAATGTTGTATCGCAAACAGATAATGAAAATATTAATACTGCACAATCTGGTTTTAATTCTGAAATTTTAAATAATGAAGGCGACACTAAAGATATGATTATAAAAAATACTAATAATACGGAAATACCTATAGATGATCTCGAAACTAATGATTTTGGAAATAAAATAGATTATCAAGTTAAAGAAAGTATACCACGCACAACAGATAATATTTTTGATGGTTCATGTGTTCCAAATAATGCAATAGATAAGTCAGAAGAAGTTAACAGAGGCTATACCATGGATGTTGACGAAAACCTTAATGAAACCTTTATATACTCCAGTGCGATGAATAACGCTTTCCTTGAAGAAGTCAGTCAGGATGAAGAGTTTTTATCTAGAACTGACCTTGAAAATACAGATCTGGATATGAGTGAGAAAAGACGTCATGAGGACAATTTACAAAATCAAGACATACCTAAGAGTTTGAACGATAATCCTCAACAAATATCTTACGAAGAAAACATCAATGAAAATCGGGAATCACTGACCCATTTAATAGACCATGAACAAGAATATTATTGTTATGAAAACCCAGCTCTATCACTAGATGAAGAACCTATCTATGGAGATGATGATCATGATCTGTCAGCGCTTGAAACATCATATCAAACATCTGACGCGTATTTCACCCCGCCAAGTTGCATAGACGATCCTCAAAAGATTTCCTCGTCTAAAGCCCTAAGCCGTTCTTCATCTCCAAATATAACACCAATTTTCGAACTAGAAGATTCTCCAATAAAATCGCATTTAAAATTAAGACACTCCCTTGATAATACTGTTTCTCCGTTCATCAGAAAACAAAACGTGATCTCAATAAAACAAACAGAAAATTCTGGTGGAGTTAAATTCTGGATATCTTTTGACGATAAGTTGGTTGAAAATGAAAAAAGGTCCTCTAGAGCCATCAAGAGTGTTGATGATACTCTGCCTAGTTTTATTTCAATCGACATGGACGATGGTAAACAGAAAGATTTTGCAGAAAAGGGTCTGACTAAACGGTCTTCTGTTCTTTTAAACGATTATAAAGAAGAGTTCTATGGATCACCGGGCAAATCAATTGATTTTGCCGCTTGCGATTCTGTAATGGAGTCAAGACTGCCTAACGATTGTGAGATCCAGAAAGTGGAGAATGTCGAAACTGTACCTCAAAAGAGGTTGCTGTACGAGGTCCACAGAAAACCTTCGAAGAGACAGTATTCTAGTTGGCCTCCGTACGAAGATACACTGTTCTATAAGATTATATCTCAATTCAGAATGTCTGAAAGTTTTGATCCAAGTGATTTGGAAAGCACTAGATTTGAATAGGAATATTTTGGGAAATGGAACGTTTGTTCAGTTAAAATTTCCCAGTGACTGTTGTAACATTTTCAATACCCTAAGATGTACTCACATATAAAATGCGTTTGATAAAATCCTATTCATTATTTGAAAGGTAAGGAGTGTAGTTAGATCTCAATTTTTAGGAATAACTTATGGTGTTAACCCTTACTTTATGCCAGAACATTCAAATAACTAGGCACTAGTATAATTTTGATTCGATGTATGTCTCAAAATTAAAAATACGTCCATTTGAGGCGTCTATACACGAGAGATGACATACAAATATTAGGACTCGACACACAAATTACCAGAACCGGTGGCAGTCAAAGAGGGTTTATATTAATAGGTGGAAATGATAGTAAATTTGACGGATACCATGTATCCGGGCAATCTTGGAGCTGGGTAGGTGAATGTACTACCGTATATCCGGCCAAATATTTTATCGTTTGTCATAGCCCCTATGACCTTACGTACTGCGCCTGGTATAGACAATGTATTATATAGATATGTACTAATAATTATAATAAACGCTTCATAAAAATAAGGTTTAAGCGATTGCATGTAAACGGAGAAACATTATTTAAAGGACAAAAAAATATATATTTCTTTTAAGAGTAATTCCTCTTGTTAAAAGGTAGGTGGAACTTTTACATTTCACGTATTGTACAAACTAGACTAGCACACCGTGGTTGTAGGACGGTGGCTGACACGGTGACGAGCTGACGAGCAGAATTACGCGTAATTTATACAACAACAAAAAAACTTGACACGATTTTGCATATTTTTATACTACGAACTTAGTAGGATTGCGAAAATAACGCAGTCACATTGCGGAGCAAATTTGTGGCACTCTTTGAACGCTAAATCTTCTCAAATCTGGCCCTGGCCCTGGCTTAAATCTTCTCAACGGGTCCCAATGCTTGGCAACTTTCTTAAAGACATATACACGAAAATTTGTCTTGTAACAAATAAAGTTGTTTTTTGACACTTTGAGTAGAGAGAAGCTACATTCAAGTATTGATTAACTCTGAATTAAACGCGGTTATTTTCGTTTTTCGTACATTTTTACGTACCTTGTAGTGATGTGGCTTATCGTAGAAATAATAGTAGTGTGGCGTAGTAGAAATTTATCCGCGGATGCGAATACGAAGATGGATTATGAGTGTCTAGATCCACTAATACGGATATCGATACGGCCTTCATTTTTTTTTCAGATGTTCTTAATTAAGAACTTAAATGGCTTGAGGTTTGATCTCATTATAAAGATAGCCAAGTTTTTATTAACGTAATAATATTAGCAACTCACTAGGAAGATACTTAAAAATAAAACTTGAATTTAAAAAACATGATAAAGTATAATAATGTAAAAAATCCGTTTAAGATCCGATAAATACTCAAGAGTCTGGATATGGATACAGGTCTTTTTTCTTCCTCGGATATCGGCGGTTACGGACACGGATGTACGGCACATCACTACTTAGAATATAAATAGTTACAAAGTATGCAAAACCAGAATTAAAGTCAACTGTTTTTAATATATATTGACGTAGAATTGGTGCCGTCAGCTCATAATGTTTACGTTGAAAATAATACATAAGATAGTTTTTGTTACTATTGTTTACAACGATGTTTTTTTTGATATATTTTTTTTATTTCCTTAGTTTCTAGAAACATAAAAATATGTTTATTTTTTTTCCTTTTGTTTCATTTTCAAACATGTATTGCACTAAGCGCTATTAACTTTAAAAAAACTTGATGTTACTAGAAGAATAATATGTTATATGTAAAACCAATTTTCATTATGGTAAATTTATAAAATGTGTATATTATTTAAAAATATAAATAATCTTATTTTTTAATGACATTTTGTAATAACGCGGTAATTAATATAAATTAGTTAATAATTTAAAACATTTAAACATTGCCAATATTGAAAATGTCTTTTTTATGAAATTGCAACACGTTTGAAAATAAATAGATTATTTATTTTTTAAATATTAACTGTATACGAGTTACTTTTCGTGTTAAAATAATGAAAACTTGGTTTTAAATATAATTGTCGCACAAATGCTTTCATATGTTCTAATTAGGTACTTACACGCTGTTTCTGCTACTAACATTAATTGACGTAATAAAGTGTGCATATTTTTTAATGTTTCATTTTGTAGTGTTTGAGTCAAAATTGAACTGGAAGTACTTAAAAATAACATTAAAAAATAAAATAAAATTATATACTCGTAAACTTTATTAGTAATATTAAATAAAGTGTCAAGTTTACTAGTTGCACTCCTAAATTTCAAACATTTTGTGCACAATTAATGAAAAAAAAAAGGATGTTTTGTTCTCGTGTCGTTGGAATAAACATTTTCAGTGTTGGAATTCAAGTCATGATGCCGATAATTAAGTTAAACTGAAACGGCGTAGTTTTGGCATTAAAACAGTTTCAACACATCATCATCCTTTAACAGTCCACTGCTGGACATACGCCTCTCCTTAGAAAGGAGGTCTTGGTTTACGTTAGATTATGATGTCGAGTCGAATCAGAATATTTTTGATGAATTAAAGGACGGTAGTTTAGAAAATCAAGACGGTAGATTTTTGTATGTTTTGAGACATTTTACGATGAAGTCTGGACTAATTTTAACAGTAATTTAGTTATTTAATTGCCTTAATAGACGACTACCCAACTCACAGTGAGTGTTTCGATATTGAACTGACTGAATTAAGTGTACTGTGTGAGATTCAGACTTTTACACAAACATTATTTTGTTAGTTATAAATATTTCATTTTAGCAAAAGAAAATAAAAACCATAAAGTAATTAAAATTAAATAATACAAATAATATAAAAGATATCTTTGTGAAAACTAACTTCCTGAGCCGCTTGAAGTAACTATTTTATGGTACTTTGGAATATGTTCTTTTTAATTTTCCGACAAAGTTTCTGTTTGAATTTCTTTTTTTTTCAATGTTATGTTAAAGTTATAAATTGTTTTAATTGCCTAATCGTGCTTACCGTTGTGTGCCTAACACGCTTTGCATGGCCTAGATGTCACGTTGTTCCGGGGCCGAAAGTTCGTCGTACTAACTCACATTGAAGGTAAGTGCTTTTTGTACATGTATTTTATGGTGGAAGTGTGTGGGACACTGAAAGTGTGTGGTGCACTTAAATTGTTTGGGACACTATAATTGTGTGGGACACTACCTCTAATTTTATGTGTTTTTAATTGCATGGGTTTTGACATGGTTATTTTAAGGGATTTTTTTAAATACTGTTTTGGTTTTGGATGATTCTTCGTTCTTTTTATTTCAATTCTATTTAAACATTTTACTTTAATATTAAAAATTTTGTAACGTTCTTTTATTTGACAAACAAGTATTTTTGAACAATTGCCAATGATAAATAATATCTCTGCAGCAGAATAACGATTTTTTTCCTGTATTATAATGTAATAATTTTTCAGAGTTAGTGAAATTATACTCGTAAACAAAAATATCAGTTTTGGTTTTGCGAAACTTACAAATAAGTGGTAGGTAGTGGACAAAATTGATTGATTATATTATGACTGGTCTGACTAAAAATATGAGACTTAATTTGGAGAGATAAAATTGTAATTATCTCTTATCTTTTGATAGTTAACCCCGCCTTACACAAGATAAAGTATCTTTAAATATACAGGAGTTTTGTATCAAACTTGTACCTAAATAGTTGTAACAATGTTTTTGTGTGTTGAACGTTGCAGGCGAGCACACAGTGAACGGTGACCATTCTGACGCACACCAGAGCACCTTCTCCCACAGCAGTAAAGAGGTATGTGTTATTAATTAAATTATGACGATGAAGGAAAATAGTCACGACAAAAGGTGGAGTTAGAGTTATTAAAGAGTTGTGGAGCTGCCTAAGATTTGGTTGAATTCCTTAATTGTTGGGTCTTTTTTTTTTTGGGACTAATCCCACCCACACGCCCACTACTGTAACTCCTGTACACCAGGATCCACAGCAGTGACCCACGAACACACCGAGTTATGACACTCGGGAAGTCCCAGGAAGAAATTAAACTGTCTTGGAACCCGCAACGAAATTAATCAGAAGAAAATTGGAGGAGTTGGAAATACAGTAAATCCACTTCCCTCCTTAGCAAAGCTTAATTGTTGGGTCTATGGGTAATCACAAAACTGAAATGGTTCTTTCATGTCAAGACCAGGCTGGGCGACCACTTGGCACTGCTCGCCCATTTTGCTATTACATAGACATAGAACAGAAGTTTCTCTCGGAACCTCCTCTCCAGACATAGACATAGGGTTTTTTTGCCCCAGAAATTCTTACAAGAATAAGCTTGAAGTGTAAAAGTATCTAAAAAAAATCTAATTACAAAATAAACTTTAGTTCATTATTATTATTGGGGTAAATATGTTAAAAAAGTGGAAGAATGTATAAATAAATAAATAATCTTTTGTCTTCTCTATAAATATTATTAGATTGCAATTTAATTAAGAAAATTGTTAATGTACAGGGATCTCCATCGAAGGAGGTATCGACCGAGGACTCTCCGAAGAAAGACAAGAAGAAGAAAAAGGGTCTCAGGACGCCCTCTTTCTTGAAGAAGAAGAAAGAGAAGAAGAAGTCCAGCACGCCACAGCCCGCCTAGAGGTAACTAGTTCTGTTTAAACTACTACAATCTACTTAAAGGATAATTTACAATTACTCAAATACATCAAAAAAGGTATTGGGAAAATTCCCCTTTAAATGAGAATTGTTTAGAACAGGAACTGGAAATAAACTTCCTCTCAACTCAATGTCCTAAAGCCCTCAGGTCCAGGTCAGTTAATGAATCAGTCAGTTACCCATCTATGGTTGACCTAGCTAGGATTGCTTAACTTTGCAATGTGTTAACCAACTCATAGTTAGCCACCAACGTTTTTTTAAATGTCTATTAATAAAAAGGGACGGAAATGTGTAACAGAAATCCGAGGAAGTGCGTGCTGTTTGATTTGAGTTGCCCGTCAGGTGGTAGGTGAGATGTCAGGTGTTACAGCGACTGCTGTAAGACACGTTCGATTTTTCTTATAATTAATTCTTATAATAAGATAATTTCTTCTCTTTCAGATAAACCCACAAACCCACACTGCCATCTCGCTTTCAAAATACCTACTTGTAATTTTTTTAATAATTATAAGAATTTATCCAAACGTTACGTAATGGTAATACGTTATCAGCTTATACAGTATGTTAACGGTGGGGTGTACATAATTATGTGAAAACAAAACGAAACATGCTGTATATGTGGTGTTGGTCGCTATTTTTGAAATTAACATAGTTTAAGAAAAATGTAATTATTGTATGCCATTGTTGTGTAAATGTACCGTTTAGCATTTCTCCTATAGATGGGAATTATTTCCCATTTAAAAATCTTTTTAAAAAACTTTCCTAGCATTTTTATTTTTTATAAATATAATTTTTTTGGCATGTTTCTTCCATTTTATTATGACATTCCTATCGGTAGGAATTTCCCATAACTAGGAGAAATTCTTAATTAAATGTAAGTTTGTATTCTGGGTGGTCTATTTATCATCGACTAAGAACAAAATATTTTAAATAGTTGAAGTAGAATTTTATAAACATTAGCTGTCCAGCTCGCTCTTAAGTACCTACGTTACAATGAATCATGTTCAAGTATTAGTACAATTTAATCAGTATAATTAAAAAAAAATAGCGATCAAACCACAAAATTTATTATAAAAGCTAATCTGCTTGACTACGCCGCTTACAACCAAGATTTGGTTAACAGTAGGTCTCTCTTCAAGATTTTCAGTTAGAGGAGTTATAGGCTCTCACTCCATTTGGTCAATACAAAAGTATCCATCTTTGACAGGTCTCAAATGCTCAACTTTGAGTAAAAATATTCGGCGCTGAGTCAGACACTACTCCTCTCGCTCACACGAGTGATATAACTGAGTATTTTATTTTTACTTGGTTTTGAGCGGCTGTTACAGTCCTATGTACAATTTTTACAAAACCCACCCACCGGCTGTCGGAGCGGACGCGTTTCGACTCTAATTAGGGCGAACACGTCGAGCGTGCTGCTATCCTTTTCACGCTCGTGATTGCTCAACTTTAAGTAACTAGAGCAAAAGTTTTCGACACTTGAGCAATTATTTGTGTTACGTTTTATTAAGCAATTTTGCACGTTATTGAGCATGTCATGAGAAATGCTCAAGTTTGAGTAACTTACGCTTTGCTGCTCAACATAAGCGAAGGTATTGAGGGACGTTGCTCAAATTTGAGCAACACACGAGCGCTTTTAGTGTTTAGAGAGGCGCTATAAAATAGTTGAAACGGCGTATTTTTTTAATTTATTTTTTGACGATATTTTGACAAAATTAATACTTCGGTTTATATCTTATGCCTTGCCAAACGAGTTCTTATGGTTGCAAATTATGAGTTTTTACATCTCTTTATTTTATTTTTTATTTTTTTTTCTTAATTTTAATTTTTGACTGTATTTGCGGTTTTGACAGAAAATTACGGTGATCGACACATCTGGCAGCTGTTTAATTATGTAAGTTGTACACACTTACCCACATTACTTCCAAATAGAACTTTATAATCGTAATTTTTCAGAAATACTCGAAAATAATAAAGAGGAGAATGACCTAACGACTCATAGCGTACAGATGGTCTATTTCGGCATCTAGGTACCGCAATTTTCAGTTAAAATCGTAACAAAACTGGTGCATTGTTTAGTTATACATTATTTCATCATTTTATAGACGGCATATAATGCTTACATGTTTTGGGGGCCAACTGTCTACCGTGGATCATCCGGATACTTTATATCAACATGGGAAACCATACTAGCAGTCATTAATCATAGATTTACTCGCTCCCGTATCCCTGAAGGGCCTATAAAAAAAAAACCTGCATATTTTTATATTTGTTTTGCTATCTCAATTGTCCGGATTACCCGGTTCGTAGTGACGTCCCCTGCCATTTGTGCTTTTAAATTATAATAACGAAATAGAATATATCATTACAGTATAATGGTCTGTCAATTCCTTCCTTTTAGTGTTAAGTGAACGTCAATATGTGACCAAGTACACGCGCCGATGATATTATGTGAAGATATATTTAATGAATTAAGTTACAAGTATAACACATGGAATTGTTTTTAATGATATTTTTTTTGTTATTAAATTAAATTGTAAGTTTTTTTATAAAATTAAATTGTCCGTAGTGTGTAATTGTCCTCTTTCCTTTTTAATCTGACAGATCATTTTACATATTATGATATTTTATTGAATATAAAAACAAAAATATAATATATGTTAGCATTTTATGTAAATTTAAGATTAAGCAGGCTAGCCTACTTTCGGTAGATATAATTTATTTTTGCCTTTTTTTTACTGTTTGGACTATTTTGCATGGAGTCACTTGGAAAAAAAATGTTCAGTTTAATTACAAAAAAAATCATAATTAATTTTTTTTGTAATTTTCTTTGTCAGTATAAAGTGCGGAGCGTATCCAACCGCGCTCGTAGAATCAGTACATCATCATGTTGTTAATTTTAAACAGTTTTTTTTTTCTATTTTTAATAAAAATACATATATTTTTATTATCGTAACGTCCCATTTCGATTTGACATTACCTAGAGTGTTCTAGCGTTGTTAAAATGACAAGTTGAATGATTCCTAAGGCTTTAAGTACACGTGCTATTGACATGCCCTTTACTAGCATGCTAGTTATTGAACACACAATCTGTTGAGAACATTGTTAACAATAAATTGGCACGTATTTCAGCATGCTATGTACTAGCAGGTGTATTTTTATGTCTTTAGTTTGGGAGTGGTGCCTGTTGTGAGTTAACCTGTTACGAAGAAGAAAAATCGGTATTGCAGTCTTGTTGTCGCTTTAAGTAATTTGTATTTGTTGGTAGGTGTTATTTAAAAGATTTATTACTCAATCATATATCATTTTTTTTTAAATTAATTTACAAGGTTCAATTGAAACCTTGTTTAATGCTTTATTGGCCAAAAAAGAGCTAAAATTAATCAATTTTAAAATAACTGCAAGCTGTAATAGGTTTCCAAGCAACTATGTCAATACTACGACCACGACAGGGTGTTTCTGGAAGAGTTAAATTTAAAAAAAAACAGCTATTTTTTTTCAAAATTGTGTACCAATTGTCCATATTTTTTGTTCAGTTTAAATCTGTATTATGTTCACTCACGTCACAAACTGTTGGGCGTTAGCTCTAAGGATAGCTTATACAAGTTATTTTAACGTAATGTGTATTTTTTATTTCGTAAAAATATATGCTATTTGAAAAAAAAGGTTTATTATTGAAATTGCTGTTTTATTTTTTATTCTCTTCTTATTTATGTAAGGATATCTTCATTTATCTATGGAAGTTTACTACCTTGAGAGTCGGAGTTCAAATTCGGACTTCTCGGCTGAGGAGGAATTTCAAGAATTGTCGTTTGCAAGGGACTTTCAGATAGGAGAGGTCTATGTCCAGCCAGGTTCGTGTGGTGACGGATTAAGAATACAGAGTGTCACCACCCTTATTCATCCCGTGGGTGTCGTAAGAGCCGACTAAGGGAAAAAACTACACAGAACAACAGCACTGCAGAGAGAAGGAAACCTTGACACAAACCCTTTTTTTTTATTTTTAACGTGTGGAAATCCCCTCGGACCGTCACCCCACCGGGGTTTGCGGCGGTCTGGTGTGTCGGACTCGGACCGACTAAAACCACACGGTGTGCCACTCTGCGCCTGTAACAGGAGGGATCCGGGAACAGCTGTTGTTAAGACATCTGGATTAAGTCAGACATCTGGTTAAGATCCTAGCGCCAGCCCGCTCCTGGTGCGGGCTCCGTCTCAATATTTTCCTCTCTTTAGGCGACGTCCGGCACACGCGGACGCCGCCCCCTCGCGGCTGGCCAAACTAATGCGGTGGAGGGGAAACCCACCCCGTCCACCCTCCGCCACACTCAGGGCGGCATGAGGCGGTGATAGGCGCGGATCGGGTCCGAGTGGAGGTCGTCCTCTCGGGCCTTCTCCGCCGCCTCCTTCCGCGAGATTACTTCCTCGCAGAAGGTTGCGACCGCGGTAAAACAACTGTCGCTACCGGCCATGGAGCGTACTACGGCCGGTAGCGAGAGATCCACTCCGATGACTGCAGTGAGGGCCCGGCGCTGCGTCGCCCATGCGGGGCAGACCGCCAGCGTGTGCTGGGCCGAGTCCTCACTGCAGTCGCAGTGGTGGCAGGCGGGACTGAGTTCCCTCCTAGCGACCGAGTGCAGGTACTTTCCGAAGCAACCGTGCCCGGAAAGCACCTGCGTCAGCCGGAAGGAAAGGGTCCCGTGCTGCCGCCCTGCCCACTCGGCGATGACCGGCTGGAGAGCCTCCACGGCGGCGAAGCCAGCGCGTGGAGTCTCCAGCCGGAACGACACACAAACCCTATACCAACCCGTCATAGTTGGCAAAAACCTCCTTTCTAAGGAGAGGCTTATGTCCAGCAGTGGACTGTTAAAGGCTGATGATGTGATGACCAGCCAAATTGTCTTATCGAAATGTAACTTTGGATGTATTTATAGTTTGGATGACAATGTTATAGTCTGGCATCTTGGAGCAGATCTCGCTTCAGTAGCTTTAGTGGTCTGGGCTCAACCGAATGAATCATACCGCTCACAGATTCAACTTGGAAACAATAGCCTGATGATGGAACCAGGAAATGGAAAATGGATTTCTCCAACTTTTCCATTAAATCGCCAATAAAGCGGAATTTTTGTTCCATTTAACCTTCTTTTGCCAGATTGCCAATCTCACTATAATACAAAATTCACTTGAGTTCTTTCAATTTCGCTGAATAGCGTGATGATATAGTTTATAACTAATACAAGACGACCTGTTTCAATGCCTAATTTGATGAGTTCAAGCCTTTTATTATTTATTATAATAGTATTTAGTTACAATCAATACAAAAGCTTTACGATGCCACTTAAACTCATTCAAGGTTTTCTGAGTATCATTGTCACCGACATTCAGTTTGTAGTAAGTAGGTACACGTATTACAACAAAAAGCATTAATTAGCACATAATGCAAAAACAATCCAGTTTATAGATGGTAGGCGTCAAGAAAACGGCACTTTTTTTGGTAATATTGGAACGAAGTTCCTTATCGCGCGTTGTGGGCAACACGCGGGGGGCTACACGGAAAAAATTCAATTCAAAAATTCTCACGAAAAGTTGTAACGACACTTTTTTGTCAGTCATTCAGCGCCATCTATCGAATAGATAGGAAATCGTTTCTCAAGGAGATTTTACCAATGTATAAATTGTTTTAATTAGAAACCAACTGAAAAATATGTAGGTAATAGCCGCTTTCATAGATGGCGTTGTAATTAAAATCGTGTCGAATCAGTTTTACTCGATCGTCACAACTTCGTTCCTATCGGGTGTCCCACGACACCACACGGCTTTTTATTAATTCCTGTGCGGAATTCCCCTCGGATACCACCTACCAGTGGGTGATTATGGCGGACTCGAACCGACCAAAAACCGCACGCCGTCTCCAGGTACCAGTAGCCGGGGAACCAGGTATACCCTAGAAAGGAAAGCCCTGGTACCCCGACGTAAAGAAAACGGACTGCCTCGCACGTCATTCGGTCGCCAGACGGTAAACTATTTTTATTGTTGTATTCCGTAGATTACAAACACGTTGTTTAGTTTTCCAGTACTTCGGTTGTCATTGCCGTAGTTCAGCTTTGGCCAGATTTGTGTGAGGATTTGTCTCAAAATATAGACCTATATCGAAAATTATGTATTAACACGATTTATTTGTGCAAATCATCGTCACAAACGCGCTGAGAGAGTTTATTTGAAGTAGACTTTATAAAAAACTCCGATGAGCAAGGGTGACAGTACGCTACCCTGTGGTACGCCAGCAGGTATAGTGCGTCGTGCAAAGAAGATGCCTTCAAAACGGATGAGCTATCGTCGTATAAACAGGTAAAGTTATGAAACCAGTCTATTGCTGTTGGAGATATCTTAAGAAAACACATCTTTTCCAACAAAATAACATCATCAGCAGTCTTAAAGGCGTTACTGAAATCAAATAGCGTTAATACCATCATTCGCCGGTTTTCGCTGCCCAACTTTCTATAAAACGTAACATGACGTTGTGGTACTATGAAATAAGACGAATAGCAGATTAAAGTGAATTTAAGAAGTGTTTTTAGAAAATATAAGGCTATGTTCATTGGGGCACTCCACTATTTAATTATAGAGTTAAATTTATTTGTCAAATAAAAAAGAGGGTAGATGTAGATTAGTGAGTACTAAATGTACAGTGAGTTTAATTATAACAAATACTTGTTCGTGTTAACAATCTTTATGGATAGAGTTAAGTCCATTCAATGTTTTTATACTGTGATGACAATTTTTAACCAGGCTTTTTAACGCCAGCAGTGAGGTTCCGTTACGACAATCAATGCAAGGTTCGCTCGTTTAGAGGTGCTTTTTCTTTTTGTCAAAGACGCACTAGGAATATTTCTTGTGTCGCGGGGGACAGACATACATGAAACGAACACAAAAAACATCCAGACTCAGAACAATAATTTGTGGATCACACAAAGTGTTATTCCATGTGAGGATCGGACTCAAAGCATTTAACCGACCGCTTAAACCACTACGCCATCCGTAAAGAGTGCTTTCAAAAAGGTGTACAAAAAGAACAAATTTCTTGCCAAAATAGGGAAACAGTACCTACTTTCTACACGGGTTTCTGCATTTTTGGCACCCCCTGTTCTTGCTTATTTTTCTAAATAACGTACTTTAAAAAAAACCTCATCATCAACAGCCTATACTAGTCCACTGCTGGACATAGGCCTCTCCTTAGAAAGGAGGTTTTGGCCTACTATACCACGCTGGCCAGACGGGTTGGTATAGGGTTTGTTTCAAGTTTTCCTTCTCTTTGCAGTGCTGTTGTCCTGCTTAGTTTGCTCCCTTAGTCGGCTCTTACGACACCCACCCAAAAAAACTTACAAATTCAAATGTTTTTTTCAAAATAAAAACTTCAGACTCAACATTTTGTAGATGTCACCTTTGTGTTGTACGAGTATAACGTGATACATCAAGACAGAAGAGACAGATAAACCTTTTTTCTAGAGAAATTAAAAGAATAATGCTAAATGCGTCTAGAAGAAGAAATAAAGCAATGTCAACGTAACTTGACTTTGTATTTTTATGCCGAAAGAATTTACATGTAGAAAATTTCAGTAACACATTGTTTAGATTTACATTTGGTTTAATTTCACGAAAGATGTAAGTTATCAAATGTTGGACGAACAGTTATAGCACGATGGCAGTTGCTTACGAAGCTTGGAGAGCAAAGGTACTAAGATACTATCCTCTCTTTTCAATAAAATAAATCTTAGCATTAAATTCAAGTGGTTCTGTGTGGTGACGAATTAAGAATAGTGTCACCACCCCTATTCATTCAGTGGCTGTCGTAAGAGTCGACAAAGGGAGCAAACTACGTAGGGCAACAGCACTGCATAGAGAAGGAAAACTTGAAACAAACCCTATACCAACCTGTCTGGCCAGCGTGGTATAGTAGGCCAAAACGTACTTTCTAAGGAGAGGCCTATGTCCAGCAGTGGACTATTGTATACCAGTTGTGTAGACTGGTGATGATGATGACAGCATTTAATTATTTCGCAAATAATTCCGTGCCATTAGTGGACAATGTGTTTTGGGGGAGGCTGAATAGCTTTGATCGTATCAAGGGCTTTTATTAAGGAGCGAAGTGAGCCGCCGCTTCGGTGTTAAGGGTGATTCTATACGATGTAAGTAGCTCGCGCATGTTGAGGCACTTGCGGAGGTTGTATGCTTCGCGACAAGTTCTAAGCGCGTCCAGTGACTCGAGTATGAGCGAGCCATCCGCGTAGGTGATCCGCACGACTTGCATCGCGTGCAATTTATTTACTCAACATTTTCAACAAATAATTTCATAAGAATTCTTGTTCATCAAAGCATTTTTAATGCGATCACTTCCTCCAGCGTGTACAAGCACCCTGGTACTGAACTATTTCAAATCTGAAACTAGCAAGACCCATACATGTAACAATTGCAGTAACAACAGCATGTACAAGTTACGTAACTTGTGCATACTCCTAACGCAAATACTCCGCGTATTTATTTGTTCCAACTACTTGCACCGTGTAGAAGCATCCTTAGAGGCTACTCCGTCGCACTTCTCCAGCTATAAATACTGATTAAGAAAAATTGTTTTCTAATAGTAATATCCTTAAAACATCTATGTCTCCCATGTCTGTCTTTCTAATTTCTAACAGCATTGATGATATTAATCGTATTGATAACAGGTTGCCTCTCAAAAACGTCCAAATTGTTTTTCTCAAAAGATTATGATATGTAGTTTTGAAAAAAACTAAAAGCGTTCTACAAAGGCAAAACATCAAGTTCTGTACGAACCATTTGTGCAGGTACACGTCCGGCAACACTTAAAAACCCCGACGACCACCACAGCGTGTCTCATGAAGAAGAATCGAGAATGCAAGATTTGCTGCAGTTCGTACAGGAAAAAAGAGGAGAAGAAGAAGAAAAAGAAACAATGCCCGTGTCCCTGCACCACCCCTTGCGAGTCGAGTATGCCTGCGGCGTGCAAACGGGTGAAGAATTTGGGGGACGACTGTTGCCGCTGCTGCGTAGCTCTCTGCCAGTATATCGGAGAGTATGTCAAGTTTTTTATCGCTCTGATATGTTTGAAGAACCCCCATCCCAAGTTCTGTTGTCGTTTGTGTAATTTGATACGCGCCACCGCCATTGTGTGGCAGGATGGCTGCGATATAATTCGGTCCGTGATACACTGTCTTCTTGGAATGCATTAAATCGTTTTTAATTGTGAGATTGTTCTCTTTATTTCACTGCAACCTGCCCGGGCGGAGGGAAAGGGAAAGGACGGTTCTGTCCACGCGGACGTCGCCTCCTCGCGGTTGGTATAGGGAGGCGAAAATCCGTCCCGTCCACCCGCGGCCACACTCAGGGCGGCATGAGACGCTGGAATGATCGCGTCCGCCACCCGGTTCGCCGACGGCGAATTGAGTCCGAGTGGAGGTCATCCTCCCGGGGCCTATCCACCGCCTGCTTCTGCAAGATGACATCTTCGCATAAGGATGCGACCGCGGTAAAGCAACTGTCGCTACCGACCATGGAACATATGATGGCCGGTAGGGAGGGATCCTCTCCAATGGCTGCAATGAGGAACCGACGCTGCGACGCCCAAACCACAGAGACACGTGTTGTGTAATCTAGAATTTTCGGGGGGTTTCGGTCGTGGAGGTCCGATATTGCGAGTCTACTGTTGAGTTGTTTCAAAACACAGGTTGTATAAACAACTTTTACTCTATACATAGAGCGACCGGAGGGGAGTAGCCATAGCGTCTTTTCGCGATACAAAATAGTCTGCCATTTTTTCCGTGGGGGATATTCTCGCACACATTCTCGGACTCCCATACGAAAACAATCGACTGTCTCTACGGAACTTACACTTAACAATTAAAACAACACGTCATGAACAATTTCACACACACCTATACACATTCTGCGTAATAACCGTGTAATGAAGTGACGTACTACATTGAAACGTTGCAAACAAACATGGCTGTGACAACTATCGATAAATTCGAGAAGTCTGTTGGGGAAATCAAGTTTAAAAAGTGATACAAGGGTGGATATAAATATAGATAGGACTATTTATTACTACAACAATCATCATCGATGTTACCGATGATTTTATCATCACTGGTTTCTAAACTGGGTGAATCTATACTAATATTATAAAGCTGAAGAGTTTATTTGTTTGAACGCGCTAATCTCAGGAACTACTGGTCCGATTTGAAAAATTCTTTCAGTGTTAGATAGCCCATTTATCGAGGAAGGCTATAGGCTATATATCATTACGCTAAGACCAATAGGAGCGGAGCACCAATGAAGAATGTTTGAAAAAACGGAGAAATTTTTTTTACTATTGAGAGACGCAGACGAAGTTGTGCGGGTCAGCTAGTTTTGTGTAAATATGTCGAATACATTTCTGTGCGTTACCTTTTTAATAAAGAATGTTCCATCCTTCTGTTGTTCGCAAACACTTAAAAGGTTTGAATTTATCTGAGTAAATGACTGTTTATTGTAATTATCTAAGTAAGGTATCTGTTATTACAGAATTTTAACTCGGATCTTTAGAAAACCTGCAATAATTAAATAAAAACTACGACCGGACGGCGTAGTGGTTTGTGTAACGGACTGCTATCCCAAATGTCGCGGGTTCGATTTCCACTTAAGTCAAACATTTGTGTGCATGAACATTTAATGTTTGATTTAGTCTGTGTGTTTCTATGTATAATAAGTATGTATTTACAAAAAAAAGTATATATGTATTTATATCAGTTGTCTAGTAGTCGTAGTACAAGCTCTGCCTAGTTTGGGATCAGACGACCGTGTGTGAGATGTGTGAGGTTTTTATTACTGTCCCTTTTTACGGAATCATTCCCCCAGCCACACAGTAACATAAAAGAAAGCCATAAATAAATATAAAAATCTTATTTTATTTCATTTTACATACAAAATCAACAACCATAATGAATTACAACACATTATTATTGAACTAACAATATATTTACCATTACCGAAACTTAAAGTACGCAGTCACTAATATATATATAACATATGTATATAACAATATACATAACACCCTGTCTGTATGTAACACAACTGAAATACGAGCTTAGTAACAAATATCGGCAGTGCACTGTCTAACAATCATTTTAACAAATCTTTTGTTGTTAAGTCCGGGTATCGAACCTGTGACTTACGGTAGCACTAACAAATATGAGTAATGTGTTGAAATATAACAGTTTTGTATTTTTATACAATAACAGTAGCAAAATAGTTAACTGTGTGGTCACCGGGACCAATCTTCATAGACATAATCACTTAGATGCTGACTATACATCTGTTTGTTTTGTTTCTTGTAATAAATGTGAAATCAAGCGTGATAAGAGGAAGTCATCGACTGACAAGGGAGTGAGCGAGTGAGTGAATGAGTGAGTGAGTGAGTGAGTGAGTGAGTGAATGAAACAGTAAGTCAGTCAGCCAATCAAAATGTAATTATTCGGTTGGCATTCTATGTCACTAAAATCTTGTTTAGCAAAAATCCAATCAAAATTCTAGCCGGTTTCTTCTGTCATACAACTTGAACGACTGCTGTTTGATCATACCGCCTTCTGTATTGTATCTATTAATTAAGTCTCACAGTTTAAATCACAAAAATAATATTAACAATCAAATCAATAATTACAAAACTAAAACATTTAATTATCTAATATAACTACAAGAATCTTTTAATTCTGTACAATTTAAAACCCTCGATACCTATATATAATACTAGAGAATGCCGTGGAGTCAAGCGGTCACCGGCGGTTACGCTGTGTTCTGTCTGTCAGATATGTGAGCCAGAGCCGAGATGGCGGAGAGCGTGAGGGACTTGTCGAACCGGTAGTTGTAGTCCTGGGTCCCGTGGATCGTTCGGATGTGGATCCTCAAGTAGCTGGGTCTGGTGAAGAACTTATAGCATATGTGGCACTGATACTTCTTCAGTCCAGAATGCGTCTCCAGGTGTCTCTTGAGCTTCCCTTTAGTGATGAACCCTTTGCCGCACTGCTGGCACATGAAGGGCTTCTCCTTGGAGTGCGTGAAGCTGTGCAGCTTGAGATAGTAGTGGAGCTTGAAGCCCTTGTGGCAGATCTCGCAGATGTACTTCTTCTCTTCAGCCTTGTTGGTGTCGTCGATAGCGATCTTGGAGCCGTGACTCTTGAGGTGTTCCTCTAAGTAATAGAAGTGGTGGAATGTTTCGCCGCAAATCTTGCAGATTCTGTACCTGGGAAATCAATGTATAAAGTTAACGATATGTTTGGCCATAACGGGTATGAAACCCCGGCTCTCTTCGATCTACTTCAGTATCTGTGCAGTTACCCATTCGAGGGTATCCCTTCCCCAACCGGCCTCACCCTATCTGTATTTTTACGAACTGACCGGTTACCTGACGGTATCCAATGTCCTTCTTCAAGAATCAACCTATCTGCATACCAAATTTCATCTAAATTGGTAAAGCGGTTATTGATTTCCCATATAAACTTTCACCCCCTTAAAGAATAATTTCTTGGATCAAAACTATCCCATGTCCTTTCCCGGGACTATCTCTATACCGAATTTCATCTAAATCGATTCAGCAGTTTAAGTGTGAAAAGGTAACAGATAAACAGACAGACACACCTTCGCTTGGACGCTATGGATTAGTGGGGATTACACATAGCGTCGATCCCATAATATGGCTGATAGATGATGATGGTATAACAGCTATATAAGACGGTACCTCTCGTCCGAGGGAGTGATGTCGGTCAAGGTGGAGGCCGCGTCGGGCTGCTTGGGGATCTTCAGCGCGTTCTGCAGCACCATCGCCAACACTTCGTTGCGGTTCGACTCCAGAATCCTTAAAATAAATCCTTTAATATAAACTATGTACATTATATATTGATACTATGTATTGTCTGCAAGTTGTACTCATTGAACGGACATTTACTTAGTCAAATACTAATTAATTCAATCACTCACACACGGACTCGATTGGTCCCTCCATCTCTGCCTGTCTCAGTCACATACTCACTCATTCGCACCCTTGGTCACTCACTCACTTAATAAATTAGTCATCTAGTCACATATATATTGTCTTTCAGTACTTTATTCACTCACTCAGGCAGTTATTATCTCAGGCATTCTTTCTTTACTCTGTCGTTCGTAATTTTTTACTTAATCGTTCACTTAGACATTCAGTCGCTCTCTCAGTCACTCACTCGCTGAGAAATTCATCACCTTCACTCGCTCTCTCAGTCACTCACTCGCTGAGAAATTCATCACCTTCACTCGCTCTCTCAGTCACTCACTCACTGAGAAATACATTACATTCAGTCGCTCTCTCAGTCACTCACTCGCTGAGAAATTCATCACCTTCACTCGCTCTCTCAGTCACTCACTCACTGAGAAATACATTACATTCAGTCGCTCTCTCAGTCACTCACTCGCTGAGAAATTCATCACCTTCACTCGCTCTCTCAGTCACTCACTCACTGAGAAATACATTACATTCAGTCGCTCTCTCAGTCACTCACTCGCTGAGAAATACATTACATTCAGTCGCTCTCTCAGTCACTCACTCGCTGAGAAATTCATCACCTTCACTCGTTCTCTCAGTCACTCACTCGCTGAGAAATTCATCACCTTCACTCGTTCTCTCAGTCACTCACTCGCTGAGAAATTCATCACCTTCACTCGCTCTCTCAGTCACTCACTCGCTGAGAAATTCATCACCTTCACTCGCTCTCTCAGTCACTCACTCGCTGAGAAATTCATCACCTTCACTCGTTCTCTCAGTCACTCACTCGCTGAGAAATTCATCACCTTCACTCGTTCTCTCAGTCACTCACTCGCTGAGAAATTCATCACCTTCACTCGTTCTCTCAGTCACTCACTCGCTGAGAAATTCATCACCTTCACTCGCTCTCTCAGTCACTCACTCGCTGAGAAATTCATCACCTTCACTCGCTCTCTCAGTCACTCACTCGCTGAGAAATTCATCACCTTCACTCGCTCTCTCAGTCACTCACTCGCTGAGAAATTCATCACCTTCACTCGCTCTCTCAGTCACTCACTCGCTGAGAAATTCATCACCTTCACTCGCTCTCTCAGTCACTCACTCGCTGAGAAATACATTACATTCAGTCGCTCTCTCAGTCACTCACTCGCTGAGAAATTCATCACCTTCACTCGCTCTCTCAGTCACTCACTCACTGAGAAATTCATCACATTCACTCGCTCTCTCAGTCACTCACTCACTGAGAAATTCATCACCTTCACTCGTTCTCTCAGTCACTCACTCGCTGAGAAATTCATCACCTTCACTCGCTCTCTCAGTCACTCACTCGCTGAGAAATTCATCACCTTCACTCGCTCTCTCAGTCACTCACTCGCTGAGAAATTCATCACCTTCACTCGCTATCGCACTATTTTTTCAAAAGGTAGCTCTCGTAGTAGGAACATAATCTGGGTGTTCTTTGTGTCTATTCATGTATGTTTGTTAAGGCCGCGACCCTGGATATATTCCACAAGACGCGGAGGTCGCGGCGGGTAACTCACAGGCCCTCCTTCTGGTGCGTGGCGAGGTGCATCTGCACGTGGTAGCGCGTGTTGAACATGTGCGCGCACACGGGACACTCGTAGCGCAGCACGAACCCGCCCGCGCGGTGCGTGGCGAGGTGCTTGGCCAGCTTGCACGCCGCGCCGAACCGCTTCGAGCACACGTCGCACACGTACTCCTTGGACGGAGCGTGCTGCTTGCGGTGGTACACCTGCCGGGGGGACCGACACACATTCACTAACCCTGGCTACGTGTAAAGAACGGTGGCCGAGAACTGATCACAAGATGGTATTCGAGGTCGAATTATCAAGGTTCTGGGACTGTTTGAAATACGAAGACCTTTCCGTCTATTCTACTAACGAGAGAACGACCAGCTATCCCATGAGGAATTTCTTATCTCATACTGAAATTGTCAGAGAGATAGATTCACTCACAGGTTCGTACAGGACTACACACTCACGTGAAGAATAAGGATACTCATCCTATAACACGAATATTCTGCTCTCCATAACATCACCAGGGCTCCCTAAAACCTTGTCATGGAGGACTTCAATGCTAAAATGGGAGTACTGGCTTGCAGTGAATCAAAGATTGGTCCTCAGTGATTTGATAGAAAAAATGGTTGACGGACAACATCGTGGTATACTTCTTGGAACACTTAATGTCTTGGAAGCTTGTTCTCGGGACCAGGATCATGACAGACAAGTTAAAAGACATCACAATGCTTTACAGATTTTACATCACCACTGACCACAGACTTGTTCAAATCACCCTCAACATCTATTGTAAGCTTGGAAGATGTCGTCTCATGAGCTCTTGTCTACTCCTGCTTCAGGATGACGAACACGATAAATTTCAAAATTTTATAAGAATCTTGAAAGAACTAAATATGTTACGGGGGCTAAATTCTGATTTAGCCCCCGTAACTTAGATTCTAGACAGAGACCAGAGGACAGAGACCCTCTGGGGTCTCTGAGTTGGTACAGCTACTTCCAACGTTTGAACGCGTGCCGAATTGAAGACGCTATTGAGTGGATTAGGAGTTCCAAGTCTTTATCAGTGAATCATGTAGCAACACTTAAAACTGCAAAAGGCTACACTGTCTCTAAGATGGAAGTACTTGCTGATATTGTAAACATCTATGGTCGATTGGATCATTTCAATGAGTCGCTAAGTCAACGTAGAGATCTCGCGAGATCAAGTTAGGACCCAAACAGGTCCCCAATTCTGCTATTCTATGTAATATCGCATCAATAGTCTGTCGATGGAATGTCATCGGCATTTTGCACTTTTCGTATTCTACTAACTATGTAAGACCAATGGCCTCCCGATGACTTGTCACTGATACAAATGTCGTCGATGTCTTTGTAATAGTTTGGTAAACCGTACATTTTAAATTTGTAAGAAAATTATTATATATTTAATTTACCAGATAAGGCAATGTTGTTGATATTACCATTGATGACATAAACTGTGAATTTATGTTAGTAGAATACCGATATTTTGATCATTGTCAATGGAATCTCAATGGCAGCAGGTGGCTTGGCGTTTACATAAAATGGCAGAATTGGGGCCCTGGTTATAAAGCGAAGGGTTAGGACGTGTGTTATTTTGGAATGATTGAAGGCAGGCGAAGTTTTCGAGTTATTAAGTAATCCTGTAGTAAGTCCTGAGCCAGTGTTTCGTTGGTTATTTTAAACTGCATGTCAAGAAGACTTGAAGAGTTTCAGCCCCTCTGAACTCTCCAGATTCGGTGCAATAGACCAAGTACATTTGATATGCCAGTGATATGGTAAGTAATAGGTTTGAAGACTATCACCAGGGCCTGTGGACAGTCTTTGACTCATCTGAGTCCTGGTCTGTTCTGGAGACACTGCAGCATAGCTGACCTGCTTTTGTCGTTAACCAGTATAATTTAAATTGTCATGTCTACTACTGCCCCTCAGGAAATTATGGGGTAATATAAATAATTTAATTTAAAGCCAATAAGATCACTAATTTTCACGCATTAGATTTAGAGATAAGTAAATTCTTACCATATTTCTTAAACCCCCCCCCCCCTCCCCACTGGAATTAAGAGGGGCTCCGATACTCACTAATTTTTACTCATAGTTATGGAGATATGTAAGTGATGTGTGCTGAAATATAACAGTTTTCTTACCATAGTCTCTCTCTTCTTGTAAGTCTTCCCGCAGATGGTGCAGAGGTAGGGCTTCGGTCCCGAGTGCGTGGCCTCGTGTTCCTTAAGAGCGGCGCTGTCGATGGCCTCCTCCAGGCAGAACTGGCACTTTAGCACCAGCTCCTCGCCCTCGTGGCACTTCTTGTGCACCTCCAGCATCTTCAGGTGTAAGAACCTAACGCGAGTTTTACTATTATTAAAATCCCCAAAACCCTAATATGGCCACGTAATTCACTAAGATTTAGTCCATTGACCGAGATGCGCATAATTTAGACAAAAAATTTTAGGATGATCAAAGAAAAAGAAACTTTATTTAACAGTGTTAAGGCATATAATGGATTATATCAGTGCATTTGGTAAATTAGAGATTCTTGTACGAGCAAAACTGAACTCTATATACTAGTAGCAAGGGTCGATATTTGTGTAACAGCATAACAGTAAATAAACTCACTTCTGATTGCAATATTCACAAGAGTGCGGCCTCTTCTGGTGTTTCTTCCTCACCTTCTCTTCTTTCGCCGACGCCTTAGTTAACTTCCGTTTCTTCTTTTTCTTCTTTATTAAACTGTTTTAATGTAAATTCTTATTATTAAGAGGGCACCTATCCCTACGGCTGCTATGTCCCCAAACGTTGTTCTAAGACATGCAAATTTGGTCGTGTTGGTTAAAATGACAATTTTTTATTGAATCATTTTTTGGGTTGCCACAGTTAATAATGCTCATTAATCTATATTACTATTATAAAGCTGATGAGTATGTTTCGGTTACCGTGTGACGACCGTTTAAGAATACCTAAAGGGTCACCACCCCTATTCATCCCATTGGTGTCGTAAGAGACGACAACAGCACTGCAAAGAGAAGGAAAACTTGACACAAACCCTATACCAACCCGTCTGGCCAGCGTGGTATAGTAGGCCAAAACCTCCTTTCTAAGGAAAGGCCTATGTCCAGCAGTGGACTATTAAAGGCTGTTGATGATGAGTATGTTTGTTCGGTTGAACGGCGCTAACCTCAGGAACTACAGTAGACAGACAACTATAAACATACGTATGTTCACATAAATTTCATTTGACCTTTAAAATTTATCGGAAACTTTTTTTTTTGAAAATTTTCCGATTTGTTTTGATTTTCGTCTGTAAGTCAGTTTTTGGATCATTTTTTATTAAGGCTCGGCTTCTGTTGGCCCTGGCATGATGTTGTATAGCGTTACTCGATACCCAAGGCTAAAATATATTCTCAAAACAAACCAGAAGACCCTGAAATTAGCGCCTTCAACCAAACAAACAAAACCTTCAGTTTTATATTATTATTATTTATGTCAAAAACACTTAACTTTAAGACTGATATAAGACCTTTACGTAGTTATGATTGGTCCCTGGAGTTTAGGGGTCTGATGACGAAGTAAGCCAGTTCTTATATAAAAACATCAAGTCCTATATCAGTTACTTACCCACTGCTATCATCTTCTGTTGGTGCTTCCTCTTCTTCTTTTACTTCAGCGTCTTCTTGTTTGATTTCTTCTTCTTTAGCTAAAAAGAGTGACACATTGGTTATGTACGCGTCAGCAACCATAACAAATTTAGTAGTAGGTTTAGTTCCATATTTATGATCTTCCTTAAAAACTCAATGGGATTTCTCTCTTATGCTACTAACTTCAACTTCAACTTTTGGTTAATGGCTTTGTGGTAGAGTGTAACCACAATTTCGCAAATGTCATATATTTGAAAGACAAACTGTCAAAGGATTTTATATAGAGCTGTGGTAGAGCCAAAAAATATTTTGAGAATAAGAATGAATAAATTGTTAACTTTTACAGGCATGATAAAACTTAAACTAGTAAAATATATATACAGCTAATATATATATATATATATACATATACAAAATAATAAATAACCTTATGCTACTAGAATTCAAGTCAAAAGTATAATCTGACAGCTTGTCTTTATGTCAGCCATGGATGTAAACATTTTTTTTTGACATCTGTCACACAACGCCATCTAGTTTCAAACAGCAGTATCAACCATCAAGACAGAAATGGAGATGATAAGATGGTGGGAATGATGAAGGTGACAATGGAATTAAGATGATGAAGGGAGTTTTATTAATAGTCTGTGTACAAATAGTTAATAATTCATATGTCGCAATTACGTTATATCCGAAATGCCAGCGCCACCTGTCGGCGCTTGACGGAGTCAATGTTTAAAAGCCGCGCACACGAACACTTGTTGTGTGGCAGTCGGACAGAGCGGTCGTATATTGAAACCGTCACGCGTTCCTGGCGATATACGTTTAGCTATAGTCGTGTGTCTATTTGTGATAATCTACATTGTGAAATCATTGGTCATTATAATTTAATCAAGTAAACTAAATTGTTTCGTTGCGCCAACATCACCCATCGACGCCCGCAGTTAGTGAGTGAGGAACTATGGTCCCTATTGAGGATAGTGATCGTACTACAACGTCACATATTTATGTAGTACACATATTTAAATCGAAAACTTATCTTTTCCGACTTGGTACCTTTTCTTTTTTTTTGACGGGGTGGAAAATCCCTTCGGATTGCCTGCTCCTCGGGGACTCAGGAGCTAGGAGTATGTGGTGATTCCACTAAAAACCACCCCGATGGCCGGTTTAAGGTGTCCTACTCTGGGGAGGACCGGGACCATGTTATTTCAGGTCCTCCCCGAATTGACACCATGAAAAAGCCAACATCACGTGGTCACCCATCCAAGTAATAACCACGCCCGATGTTGCTTAACTTCGTTTGATCGGACGAGAACCGGTGTATTCAACATGGTATGGACGTTGGCTTCCGACTTACATAATTAAACCATAACACTTTAGAGGTGACAAAATACTATTGAATAGAAATACACTATACTAAAATTCATTTCTAGTTCAAATCTACTGCGTCCGTTAGGACTTTAAACAGCAAAATCCACCATGTGGCATACACACCATCATTTCCATGCGTGAGCACGTGCCTGTTCATCTTGCTGCTCGTTATAAAGCCCCTCCCACATGTGTAACACTTGAACGGTTTCTCCCCAGTGTGGGTCCGCATATGCACCCTCATGTACGACGCTGAGCTGATCTCTTTGTTACAAATTTCACAGGTGTTCGTCTTTAATGCGGTTGTTTTTCTTGGTTTTGGTGATGGTGGAGGCGATGGATCGCATTTTGGTGTTGATGCCCACGTGTTGGAGGGGAAGTAGTCGTCATCGGAAGGGCTGAAAAGATAAAGACGTCCAATAACAAGTGTTAAAACAGATGCTTTTTATAATTGAAGATGTTGGGCATAGTGTGATGCCTTGTGGTACACCACCATTTTTAAGACTAGTTTTCTTTGCAAAATCACTCTTATGTTTTGTGATTTACATTATAGGTAAACTATTAAATGATAAAAATAATTCACATTTTATGTTAATATCTTCTAATTGCATCAATGAAATTAAGATGGTTTAACAGATCAAAGGCCTATTAAAGGTTTAGCAAGATATTTTTTTACCTAGTTCATTTGTTTTCAAATTTCAAAACCTTTATAAAAATTATTGATATTATAAACACACCTTCGCAGTAAATTGCATTACACACAACGCCATCTAGTCCCAAACTAAGCAGATCTTGTACTATGGGTACTAGACAACTGATATAAATACATTTATACTTTTTTTTTTTGTAAATACATACTTATTATACATAGAAACACCCAGACCAAATCAAACATCAAATGTTCATGCACACAAATGTTTGACTTGAGCGGGAATCGAACCCGCAACCTTTGGAATAGCAGTCCGTTACACAAACCACTACGCCATGCAGTCGTCAAATAATGATATAATGATACAATATGTTGTACGTACGTACGTTGTATGTATCTCATATTCGCAGGTGTATTTGGTGTTATTTCATCACATACCTGTCATCTTTGAAGTCCTCGTTTTTAACATCATCATTTTCATCATCATTTCTGAAGTCGTCTCCAGGCAACTCATCCGCAGGTTTATTCTCACTCTCATCGTCTTCAATCTCCTCCTTGACTTTCACATCATCAAAACTGTCCACTTTCAATTCTTCTACAATTATGTCTATCTTGGGTATCAGCTTTTCATCATCTTCTTGGTCCTGAAGAGTAAAAATGTTACTTAATAAATCTGATACTGAGCATATCATAGTTTATTTCGCTTTCAGCCTTTAACTCCTCAACCGATAACTAAGAAATTTTGCATTTATCTTGTCAGAGTTACTGAAAAGTACACAGGGGGATAAAGTTGGAGAAAGGAATGGAATGGGAAGGATCTCCAATGCGTATATAAACTGTGTAATTGGTCCTTGTGGGAAGCAGTTACCAGCGCCCATAAATAGTGTGAACGCAAACAGAACCACTGGTGATTAATTTTGTCCTACCCTCAAAGGAGATAACAGAACGTTAATACTACTCCCTGTTCAACAACGCAATAGCGGACAGTAACCACATTACCGAGTCTCAAATACACGAGAAAACACTGTTCCATCTACCGCAGAATACGTTATGGTACAAGTACGGACGTTTGATGATCATTTAAATAAATAGCAATCCTTGCTTCAACACAATAAAGTGTAATTCAGGTCGCACAGCACAAATAAACATTAGAGGCGATACTTTTAAAATATGGAAAAAGTGAGTTTCGGATTTTTGTTAATATTTAAGCAGCAGTAGCAGAGTAGTCCGTGTAGGGATTAAGAATACGGAATGTCACTACCCCAATTCATCCCGTGGGTGTCGTAAGAGCTGACTTAGGGCGCAAAACAACGCAGGACACCATCACCTCAAAAAGAAGGGAAACTTGACACAAACCCTATACCAACCCGTCTGGCTAGCGTGGTATAGTAGGACAAAACCTCCTGTCTAAGGAGAGGCCTATGTCCAGCAGTGGACTATTAAAAGCTGTTGATGATGATGAAACAGCAGAATACGATGCCATGCGGTTAACCTTTAATTATAGTTAACATCGGTTCGTTAGGTTTAGATTTTGTTTCAAGTTTTTCTACTCTTTGCAGTGCTGCTGTCTTGAAATAAGAGGGTATAATACAGGGGATAGGGGGGGGGGGGGATTGTATGGAAGTTCAAAGTTAGATAAAACGAAATATGCTACCTCTTTCTTGACTTCATCGGTCTCCGGAGCGACTGCAACTTCGAACCAAGAGTCATCTTTCTTCTGTTCTTTAGCTTCTGCTTGTTCCTTCAGCTGTTCTTCTAGCTCTTTCAGATATGGCAAAATTGCGTTGTAATCTGAAATGTTTTAAATTATTTTATAAAGAATTTAGGCAATATTGTCGCTGATACGCTGTAACTTCTGCCTTTATCTGTAGACAGAGAAGTATTTAACGGCTACATTTTCTGGTTTACTATAGCTAGGGGTCTTGGAGCTGATCTGATAGAAAGTGAATTTCTGTAGTGGCTATCAGCCAGACCCTCGAATTTGGTCTCATGTGATTCGTTTTAACGAGGCCTACAGATTGGGCTTAGTGTCGAAGGTCTGAATATGAAGTTGAGAGTTAGAGAGTTTCTTCATGCTATTGGAGGACAGACAAAGGGGTCGCCTAATGGTAAGCGATTACCGCCGCCCATGGTAACTCGAGAGTCACAAGTTCCCCTTGGAGTCTTCCCCCTCCCCCCAGGTATCTAACCTCTTTTCTAAGGAGAGGCCTATGTCCTGCAGTGGACTATTAAAGGCTGATGATGTGATGTGTGATGTGATTTCACTCATGAAAATCAACGAAACAAATGCATAACACCGGTTTTTTGTGAGGCCGTCCCAACTGACTCTCCCACGGCTCTGTTACTGTCTTTTACTTTTTATTTAAAAGTTGAGCGATATTGCGGCACGTAAAATAGACATTTACACTGCTCACCGACTCATTATGTATTGAAATAGTTTGAATTAATTAATGAAGTAAACATATATGTTACAATGGCGATAGATTAGGAAATTATACAAAACTTAGGCAATTATGCCTATATATATGATAGAACTGGCTGTTATAGTTAAGAAGGCTCGGATTCTCCAACGACAGCCAGTACGAACTACATGTTTGCGACCCATCCGTATGAGGAACGTACCTTGCCTTCTCTTCTTATTTGCCCCACACAAAACCGGTATCAAGGTATTTTTTCGTTACTATCACCAAGCCACTGAGGTTACCGGAGCCCAAACCAAGGGGAGGGCTTGGGCTTCTTAAAAATAACTGAATTTTATATTTTTTTTAAAATAGTGGCGCTCCGGGAGTACCGACGGAAGCGAAAAAATGTACACAATACTAATAGTAATATATACACAATATATGTCTATATTATATTATCAAAGTATGTCAACCCAAACTGAACTCTCGTGTAAACAGGGCCAATATACTTATATACACAGGTGTCGGTAACGGTAACAGTGCCAGTATGTCCGTTATTAAACACTACATTGGGAATATTCCCCTTTTTTTTTTAAATCGGTTAAAACTAAACTCACCGTACGGCTCCCCTTCCAATTTGTCTTCTGGATGACTTTTATCAAAATGATTTGTTAGCAACTCAAACCTGCAATATAAAATATAACGACATATATTTTTAAAGGCTTACTAAGAACCGAAATTACTAATATTCCCGCAAAAGAGTGGCCATGAGTTTGTTTGCCCTTTCTTCTCATAAGGCTCAACCCCTTGGAAACGGACGGTTGTAGATCGGCACAGGCATATCATAGATTTTGTATGGGTTTGATTTTTGTTAAATTTATTTGCTTACTATTTGACAAAACAGAGATTGTTGCTTTTGTGTGTGTTGATCTATGACTTTAGAGTCTACATGGAAGACGATTTCAAACAATTTTGGAAATTTTATGAAATAAAGAAAGTTTGAGTTAACCCCTCCAGCTAAGCTAAATTGCTTGTGGGTTCACGTCGGTAGTGTACTCGGTCAGGATTCGAACCCACGACCTCTTAACCACTAGGCTACCGCCGTTTTATAATAAACTTAAATAATAAACACATTTATATTAAAATGATTTTTCTTTTTGAACTTATAGATATTTTTTTTCTACTGTTTAGTTCCGCTAGTTACAAAATCATGTGTTTTTAGTTTTTTTTAACCATTTTTTTCACCTTTCAGTTGTGATCATCACAAATATTACACCATTGCAAAAGGTACCTGGTGTGCCTGGTACGTCGCCTGCATGACACCAACCCCTATCAGGAATGTAATAATTTTCTAATACAAAGAAAGCAGGTAACACGAGATAATGAAACCTGTACCCGTGTGGCCATCCTGAAGCCGAAGAGGTCACTACGACACGGATATCAACTTGCTTAATTTTAATTTAATTTAGAAGAATAGGAATAAATCCTGTGTCTTACTTGGGGGACTTTACAAACATACATGAAACGGACACAAAGAACACCCAGACTCAGAACAACAATTTGTGGATCACACAAAGTGTTGTCCCATGTGGGGATCGGACCCACAACACTCAGCGTAGTAGTAGGCGGCGTGGCGACCGCTTAAACCACTACGCCATGCAGTCAACTTAAATATAGATTATCTTATTATTTAGCCATATCTCGCCATATCACGTCAGTTTATGATCACTGCTCCCCTCATAGCTTATAATTTTCTGTAATTATTGGACATTAGACACAATAACGCCATCTAGTTTCAAACTACGTAGAACTTGTGAACTATGAAAGCTAGATTGACTGATAGAATATTCATAACCGTTTTTTTTTGTTAATACATAAATATTATACATAGAAAACACCCAAAAGCCGAAACAAATATTTGCAGATCATACAAACATTTGGTCTAACCCAGGAATCGAACCAGAGACCTCAGCACAGCAGTCGCATACGCTACCACTGAAGAATTAATCAAGTCAGACTGGTAGTTACAACAAACGAACATAGGAAGAAACAATCAAACAAAAAGCTATGTTCTGGTATAAATATAAATACATACCTAGAAAATATTTTAAAACATATTCGGCACTGGAATCTGGCAGCGAGGTGTATCCGCTTGTTGTGCCTCCCGAGTTTGCTCGCTGTTATAAACGACTGACCGCACATACTGCATTTGTAAGGTTTTTCATCTGGAATAAAATTAATTATTACATAAAAACCGTTTAAATAGAAAAAAAAATGTATAAAGTTTATTTTGGGTATTATGAACTTCTAACAAACTCTGTTACGGGTAGCTTCAGCCATTAATAGAAGACCCTTATCAATACCGTAATACACATGACTAAAATCATGTCATCAACAGCCTTTAACAGTCCACTGCTGGACATAGGCCTCTTCTTAGAAAGGAGGTTTTAATCTACTATACCACACTGACCAGACGGGTTGGTATAGGGTTTGTTTCAAGTGTTCCTTCTCTTTGCAGTGCTGTTGTTCTGCGTAGTTTACGCTCATAGTCGGTAGGGGTGGTGACACTCTGTATTCTTAGTCCGTCACCACACGAATCTAATCGTATCTATTATTATTTTTATTTGTTTAACGTGTCATCTTAAATATGACTCTCTGAACCCAAAACAGTCAGAGCCTGTACTATAGCAAAGGAGAAACAAAAACATAGTTCAGCGCCATCTAACGAAGACGCACGGAACTACAAAGTGACTGCTAATTCTGTATCGCGATATGAAAAGCTCAACATTAACCGTTGGGCCGCCAGACATGACCACCTCGAATGGTTTCAGAATCCTTCCTTTGTGTTAGTGGGACATGACACCCGTTGGTCAACACATTACTAAATAAATATATATTATAGATAACATATACACAAAACAAATAACAATAATACACTCACCTGTATGAGATCTAACGTGCAACTTTAAGTAATAACTTAACGTAAATTGTTTCTTACACGCAAAACATTTATAAATTTTCTCTAAATTATTCAATTCTGTATCGTCAGCATCCTTATCTTTACTCTCACAACTCTCCTGACTGCTTACAGCACCATTATTATCATCTACTTTACTTAAATCTTTACTAACTGAATTATTTTCATCTTTATCTGTAACTATATTATTTTGTTCATTATTAACATAATCTGTAGTTTTTTCATTCCCAATATAACCATCCTCAGGTTTAATTTCAATTTCTGTTTCAGTCTCCACCTTAATCTTCTTCAACTTCTTAAGTTTCCTCTTCTCTTTCTTTATCTGTTTCTTCTTATACTGATTTCTTAATCTTAACCTATAACTTGTCATTCTATTTTTATGTACAGTTACATGTTGATCCAGTTCATGTAATGCTGTGTAACTGATATTGCAGACAGAACAACCGTAGAATGGATATGTTGCATCGTTGATCTTCTGTGAGCAATAATTCCTTCCGTTCTTCTTATCTTTCTTCTTCTTAGTTACATCTGGTTTGACTTCATTTTCTTCATTGGGCTGTTCTGGTTTATTTACTTGTGGTACTGGTTCGTTTTGAGGTATAGTTTGCGGTGTGTTGTTGGTGGTATAATCGGTATTGTTTTGTAATGGTTGGTTGTAATATGTTTCTTCTTGTTTGACATGTTGGTATGGGTACGGTGGGAGGTGGTTCGTTTGGGTATTATTTAATGAATGGTAACTATCGTATGAAGGGTATTCGTATGTGCTCAGTGGGTCCAAGTCCATGCCGTGGTTCATTTTCCAGGGTCTGTAAATTAATAGAGATAATTTGTATTAGATGTCATTGTCTATATGAGTAAGAGTGAGTTAGATGACCAGAGCCCAAAACCTTCTCTCACGATCCCGTGGGGGGGACTCAAGGTGGTGGTAGTCACTTACCATCAGGTGACCCATCTGCTTGTTTCCCCTCTAAGGTTATAGCTTATATTTAAAGCCTGTTCAAACTAATGCTTACACACCCATATCTATACGTAAGGAGTATTCCTTTCATACCGTTGCCTTCCCTTTCTTCCCTATTCTCCCTTTCTGTTGGTCTCTAAAGCGTCAGGTTGATGGCAACAGGTTAGCCACCGCTCCTATTACATAATTGTGACCAAAAAGGAAGTTAGCAAAATGTAGGAGCTTAATAATCTTCTGTCTACCTCTTTGGGGGTATGTGCCTATTTACCGTTACATCCCCAGGGTAAGCAGAAGTATGTATGATATCGATAATGTGTATATTTTCGGACTTCGCAACACCATCTAGTTTCAAGCTGAACAGAGCTTGTACTATGAAAGCAAGATTGACTGATGGAATACTTATATATATTTTTTTGTAAATACTCATACATACATAGAAAACACCCAAACTCCGTAAATAAAACATTAAAACAAACTCTTTTTAAGCATTGAGCTGTACATAAATGAAGTGTAAGGGATATATATATATATATACCCTTTTCTTTTCCCCCTGTGCGGGAATCCCCTCGGATACCACCCACCGATGGGTATGTCAGACTCGAACCGACCAAAAACCGCACGCCGTCTCGGGTACCAGTTGCCGGGGAACCAGGTGTACCCTAAGAAGGAAAACCCTGATACCCCGACGTACCTCGGGCCATCTACTTGCGTAAATGACCCTCTCCTGTGTGGGAACCCTTATGTCCCTTTTGTGCTCCCGAAATGGGGGCGAAGCGCGTCTCGCCACCCTGTGGTTTAGGCTGTGTTGATGAATTAGTCAGGCAAGGAATTTTATATATATACTAGCTGACCCGCGCAACTTCGTCTGCGTCTCTCAATAGTAATAAATTTTCTCCGTTTTTGAAACATTCTTCATTGGTGCTCCGCTCCTATTGGTCTTAGCGTGATGATATATAGCCTATAGCCTTCCTCGATAAATGGGCTATCTAACACTGAAAGAATTTTTCAAATCGGACCAGTAGTTCCTGAGATTAGCGCGTTCAAACAAACAAACAAACAAACTCTTCAGCTTTATAATATTAGTATAGATATAGATTATGGGCACTAACTTATCAGGTTTTACTGGTATTTTAAAAGAAATGGGTACAACATTATTTACGTTCCTCATAAATTATTTATCAATTAATCACATCACATCAACAGCGTTTAATAGTTCACTGCTGGACATAGGCCTCTCCTTAAAAAGGAGGTTTTGGCCTACTATACCACACTGGCCAGACGGGTTGGTACAGGCTTTGTGTCAAGTTTTCTTCTTTTTGTAGTGCTGGTGTACTGGGTTGTTTTGCGCTTTTAGTCGGTTCTTACGATACCCACGGGATGAATTGGGGTAATGACATTCCACATTCTTAATCCGTCACTACACGGACATTTAATGTTAGACAATTAATATTAGAAGATAAATAATTTATTTAAATTGTATGTGACTACACAATTGCACACAAATTGTTGTTACTTTTTAACCTACTTGAATTAATTACTAAATACATGTAAAGTAGATTGTATTTAGTAGGTTTTCTTTTGTACAATTGGGGGCAAACAGGTAGACAGATGATCTGATGACGGACGTACAGCACCACGCAGCGAGGGACGCTTTGCCGCCGCATTTTAAATCTCTAATATCCATATTACTTTGGTGATATGCTATAATAGGCAATTTTGACCTATATTAAATGGTTTTGTTTGGATGATTATAATAAGAAATCCTTAGAACTTCAAAAATAAAGCTACATATGTATGTGTGTAATTGTATATATGTATGTATGTGTATGCATGATGTATTGTGTCAAATATGTGTATGTACGAGTTTATATGTGTAGCGAACCGTTACATATACTTTCACTTATTACTTAATATATTAAAACGTTACCTCTGTGCACCTACCTTACAAGATTTCTACACCACCCAAAGGTTGACTGGAAGAGAATGCCCTGGGCATTAAGTCCACCAATGTACAATAGTGCATAAAGTTAAATAAATAAATATAAGGTTGTACCACAGTCTGGTCAAGTCTGTTATGGAATACTGCTGTACAGTGCGTTTTAATCCATCTTTTGTACACAAGTTAGTCAATGGTAATATCAATTGTACTAGTCTGCAACAAAAACTTAACATTACCATCACCCATAAACTTCCACGACTGTCTGGATACTGCTTGTGTACACCTTAGCGATACAAAACTAACCTTGGCTGTTTCTATCCTTTAAATAGGCTCCAGGCGGAATATATTTCTATCATAAGAAATAGGGATATCTATATATTTACATTAAGTTTAACAAGCAAACTATTATTGTTAAGCCGAGATATATGTATAAGGCTTTTTGTTTTTAATTGTAGATTTTTATTTAGTTCATCATTATCAATCGTCCGCCGCTGGACATAGGCCTCTCCTTAGAAAAAAGGCCTACTATACCACACTGGCCAGACAGGTTGGTATAGGGTTTGTGTCAAGTTTTCCTTCTCTTTGCAGAGCCGTTGTCCTGCGTAGTTTGTCGGCTCTTACGACAACCACAGTATGAATCGAGATGGTGACACTCTGTATTCTTAATCCATCACCACACCAAGTATTTTAAGTTTTAAGTAGTTATTATGTAAGAAAATCTCTGCTGAGCTATTTTTTAAGTTAGGGGAAGCCTCCCAACTCTCTTTTATTGGACTGCACGGATGGCGTAGTGGTTTAAGCGGTCGCCACGCCGCTTCCTATTACGCCGAGTGTTGTGGGTTCAAACCCCACATGGGACAACAAATTGTTGTTCTGAGTCTGGGTGTACTTTGTGTCCGTTTCATGTATGTTTGTAAAGTCCCCTGCGACACAGGATTTATTCCTAGTGCGGGAGTTGTCTTTTTTTAAATGAAAAAAAAAAATTAAAAATTTTATTATTATGCTTTCCGTGGCAACCTGTAATTAAAGCAGCACTAATGCTTGTATACCACTGCCATTGTATCTCTTAGCTTTTAAAGTGTATATTGTTTTTGGTTGCCCAAATAAATAAAATAAAAATACAGTATTGTTCAAAATAGCTTTTTAAATTAGCCTTTCCATCACGGACTTTTTTTTAATCTTTTTGAGATATACAGATTTGTGGTACATTATTTTGATCTCGTTAGGTTTAGTCAGCGTTTGCAATATAAGGGCATAAAAACATACAAAATCTTTGAAATTCTCAGATTTTCTCTACTATAATATGCATGTATTATACATATAAACCTTCACCTTGAATCACTCTCTCTATTGGTGTAAGCCGCATTAAAATAAGATATTTAGATAAGACAGGATAGAGTTTTATTTCCATAACTTGTTTACAGTGGTTTTTTAAATCAAGTATCAGTTTTAATTAGTATATTTTCTACTTTTTAATTCTTCGTAAAAGTTGATAGATTTGTTCATTAAGTAAATAAACAAACTTTTTTTTATGAACCAAAATCGTATATTATAATACCCCTTAAAGATTTATGACTAAAGAACAATAAAACTGTAGACATTAAGCACAGATAACACGCAAAGTATTCTCAACTAATTACGCGCCGGAACGAGTTATTTACACGTACACAAATGAACAAATTCCAATTTTAAAATCTATAGGACTTTATATTCATGTTGGCACTGTTAAAATGTAAACAAATGACTAAAACCAGTTTTTCGTCCAGTTTTAAAGTCAAAATGCTGTTTAAAATGACACAAAGCGACGTTGAATGTACTAATCGATATTCTCAAAGTAAAAAAACTCACCTGCTGGAAACGTATTCTACAAAAAATCACTTTTTTTCACCCAATCACAAATTAGTTTTTAAACACAGAATTTGTCATGTTTACGTACTTAAACTCACGAAATAGGGATCTCACTTCCTGCTTAAGGGTGTCTAAGGTATGTTTCTAAAGAAAAATACACAATAAAGTTCATTTATACAATTAAAACAAAGAATATTGGATCGGTAAATTCACATTTTTTTTCTCGCGTGACTGACTAAACTGCTATGGCCGTAATAACAGTGTTACAAATTACGAACTAAAATTACCCCGATTACATTATAATTTTTACTGAGGGTTCTGTCATAGAATATTACTTCACTCAGCAGTTTTTTTTTATTTTGATTTATAATTGGACTTCAGGTTCGCTCACTGTTTATTACTAAGGCCACTCTTTGTACGTCTTGATCTGTGGTCTGTATCTATACCTATTGAATAAAATAAAGAAATTGAAAAATAAAATGACCGTGATCGTAGCTAAACCGTAACCGTAATTTGATTCTTTTTTTTTTAGATTTTACTTTAACGTCACGAAAAGTTATGTAAATTTATAAATCTAAGTTACAAAACAACTGCCCTTACGTGTACCCAGTTGTTTTGTTACTTAGATTTATTATTTATTTATAACATGCCTGGCTTTATAGCCAGCTTGGTTTTGTAGAACAACAAAAAATTGTGTTAGGCTACTAACATCAAGTATTAATTATATTTAAGCCTCAAATTATATTTCAAAAATATAGTAGGGTTCTTTAGGATTTTTTGTAGGGAATCCTAATAGAATGCCTTTATTTAGGGAAATATTTGAACTAGCAACATTATCTGTTACTGTCAATAGCCAAGGTCGTCAGATTTTACGTTTCGTTCTACTCAAAGCACTCAGTCAAAGTATGCTTTTAAAATTTTATTTATGTTGTTAGTTGTGGTGAACTAGTAGAACTGTTATGCTTATTTAACTGTCGTTACAACATATATTGTACGGTGATAAATAAAGAGTAACATTCTATAGTTTTAGTACTACCATATGCATATGGCA